GCCTATTTTTCAATCATATTTTTTGAGGTTTTTTGCTATTGAGTTGAATGAGTTCTTTGTATAGTTTTTATGTTAACCTTTTATCAGATAGTTGCAAATATTTACTCCTAGTCTATAGGTTGCCTTCTCATTATGTTGATGGTTTCCTTTGCTGTACAGAATCATTTTCTAGTTTGATGTAATCCCACTTATTTTTGCTTTTGTTACCTTTGCTTTTGATGTCAAATCCAATAAATGATTGCCAAGATCAGTGTCAGGAACTTATCCCCTATGTTTTCTTCTAGTAGTGTTATGGTTCCAGGTCTTATGTTTAAGACTTTAATCCTTTTTAAGTTTATTTTTGTATATGGTGTAAGGGTCCAGTTTCATTCTTTTGTATGTGGCTGGCTAGTTTTCCCAACACCATTTATTGAAGAGTCTTGCTTCTCCATTGTATAGTCTTGACTCCTTTATCATAAATTAATTGACCATATATGTGTGGGTTTATTTCCGGGTTGTCTGCTCTGTTTTGTTGATACATGTTTCTGTTTTTATGCTAATACCATACTGTTTTGATTACTATAGCTTTGTAGTATAGTTTGAAATCAGGAAGTTCAATGCCTCCAGCTTTGTTCTTCTTTCTCAAGATTGCTTTGACTATTGGGGGCCTTTTGTAGTTTTAGGATGGTTGTTTCTAGTTCTGTGAAAATGCCTTTGGATTCTTGATAGGGATTATATTGAATCTATAGAATCTATAGACTGCTCTAGGTATATGGAAATTTTAACAGTGTTAAGTCTTCCAGTTCATGGACACAGAATATCTTTCCATTTATTTGTGTTATCTTCAATTTCTTTATGAGTGTCTTATAGTTTTTAGATGTATAGGTCTTTTACCTCCTTGGTTAAATTTACCCCTCGATATTTTATTCTTCTTCATGTAATTGTAAATGGAATTGTTTTCTTTTCTCTAATGGTTCGTTATTAGTATATAGAAACACAACTGATTTTTGTAGAGTGATTATGTGTTCTGTCACTTTAGTGAATTTTAGTTCTAATGAGTTTTTGGTGGAATCAAGATTTCCTGTGTGTAATTTCATGTCATCTGCAAATAGTGATGGTTTTATTTATTCTGTTTCAATTTGGATGCCTCTTATTTCTTTTTCTTGCCTAATTTCCATGGCTAGGAAGTATGTTAAATAACATTGCTGAGAGTGGGCATTCTTGTCTTGTTCCTGAACAGGAAGAAAAGATTGGCAGTAATAAGCTTGAGAGGAGGTTCTTTGTGGAGCTGAAACTCTGACCTCTGAGGAGGCACAGCACCCTGGTGCTGGTGTCTCTTAGTGGAGACAAGGTCGGGGGGGACCTGTGATGAAGTGGGTTCCCCAAAGCTTGGAAAAATGGCCAACTACTGCTCCTATGAAGATATAGTGCTGCAGTAGGGATGAAGAAGCCTTCTGGGGTGATGTTCTTGAGAACACAAGCAAGCCCACATGAAGCAAAAAGGAAGGAGCAAGACCCTTCTTCCTCTTCCAGGCTTCTATTCTGTGTTTCTAGGGCCAGCTGGCAAAGCAAAAATGGAGTGTGCAGATTCCCCGCTCTAGCATCACAGAGCAGGGTACAGAAGGGTGGAGTTGGAGCTGAGAACAAATAACATAATAGCTCAAACTCTGGTACTTCTCTTCCTAAACTACCCGGCAGATCTTCTTCTTCTTCTTTTTTTTTTTTTTTTTAAGATTTTATTTATTCATCAGAGAGAGAAAGAGAGAGAGAGCACACACAAGCAGGGGGAGTGGCAGGCAGAGGGAGAAGCAGGCTCCCGCTGAGCAAGGAGCCTGATGTGGGGCTCAGTCCCAGAACCCTGGGATCATGACCTGAGCCAAAGACAGATGCTTAACCGACTGAACCACCCAGGCATCCCATAGATCTTTGTACTTAGAATAAGTTCCATATTCTTAACTGGGGTCCATAAGGCGATATGTGGTCTGTCCCTGTTTGTCTCTACCGTTTCCTATTCTTCCTTCCTCGCTGGTCATACTCCCACTACACTGGGCTTGCCACTATGAGCCCTTCTCACTCTTGGATAATAATGTACTTATTAGTTTACTCTTTGTTTTGTCTGATTTCTTTGCTTGAATTGTACTTCCATTTGCATAGCATCTTTGTCTTGTTCACCACTTAATCTTCAGTGCCTGGACAGCAAAGGAAACAGTTGACAAAACCAAAAGACAGCCGGCAGAATGGGAGAAGATATTTGCAAATGTCTTATCAGATAAAGGGCTAGTATCCAAGATCTATAAAGAACTTCTCAAACTCAACACCCAAAGAACAGATAATCCAGTCAAGAAATGGACAGAAGACCTGAACATTTCTCCAAAGAAGACATCCAAATGGCCAAAAGACACATGAAAAAATGCTCCACATCACTCAGCATCAGGGGAATACATATCAAAACCACAAGATACCACCTCACACCAGTCAGAATGGCTAAAATTAGCAAGTTAGGAAATGACAGATGTTGGCGAGGATGTAGAGAAAGGGGAACCCTTGTGCACTGTTGGTGGGAATGCAAGCTGGTGCAGCCACTCTGGACAACAGTATGGAGGTTCCTCAAAAAGTTGAAAATAAAGCTACCCTATGGCCCAGCAATTGCACTACTGGGTATTTACCCCAAAGATACAAAAGTAGTGAAACAAAGGGGCACTGCACCCCAATTTTTATAACAGCAGTGTCCACGGTAGCCAAACTGGAAGGAGCCCAGATATCCATTGACAGATGAATGGATAAAGAAGATGTGGTATATATACACAATGGAATCCTACTTGGCCATCAAAAAAATGAAATCTTGCTGTTTGCAATGACATGGATGGAACTAGACGGTATTATGCTAAGTGAAACAAGTCAGTCAGAGAAAGACAACTATCATGATCTCACTTGTATGTGGAATTTAAGAAACAAAACAGGATCATAGGGGAAGAGGGAAAAAAATAAAACAAGATGAAATCAGAGAGGGAGACAAACCATAAGAGATTCTTAATCATAGGAAACAAACAGGGTTGCTGGAGGGGAAGGAGGTGGGGGGATGGGGTAACTGGGTGCTAGATATTGAGGGCACGTGAAGTAATGAGCACTGGGTATTACATAAGACTGATGAATCACTGACCTCTACCTCAGAAACCAATAATACATTATATGTTAATTCATTGATTTAAATTAAAAAAATGAAAAAAAAAACTTTAGTTCCTTGGAGACATGCTTGACAGGAATAGATGAATCTTGGACTCTTTCCTTCCCCGTGCTCCCCACTCTACCTCCTTTAGGGCCCATATCCCAGTAGTTACCAAGACTTAGGGGGCTCTGGTTCTTGGGTTTCTATTCAGTCTCTTCTGCTCTATCCTCATTGTCATGCCTTGTTTCCTAGTCTTACTGGGTCTCTGGTCTGCTGCTGCCATCTTTGAACTGATCTCCCTTTCTTTAGTCTTTGCCTCTTCCAGCCCATACTTCGCCACCAAACGATGAATCTATTCATATCCCTTGTGCGCTTTAAAAGTTACATGGTGACTCATTTCCTATAGGATTAAGTCCTAGCTCCTTAGAATCAATGGACCATGTTGTTCCCAGTCTTATTTAAGCCTGCCTTTCTATGCTCTTCAGGGTAACGGTATCAGTCAAGGTGCAGGCAGGGAAGCAGAGCTGCTGTGAATGGCAAGTGATCAGGGATTTATGTTAGGAAGCAGACCCCGTACAATGGTGTGAGGACAGGGGATGTAAAGGATGGAGGATCAGAGAAAAGTTCCTGGTTTCCTGAAGCACTGGTGTGGGAGATCAACTGGAGCTTGTAGGGGAGTCCAACTGGCATGGCCAGTGCCAGAGGGAGCCACAAAGGGGAAGCTCGTGAGATGTCTCTGGTAAGCACTGTCCTCCTAGTAGCTGTCAGAGCTATGGGTCTGCTGCCAAGCATTTGGTGGGGCCCATTGGTGGGCAAGGCCTATAGTTGGGAAGAAGAACTGAAGGAAGAGTGGAAAAAAGAAAGAGTGGAAAAAAACCAGGACAAGCTAGAACTGGCTGGGCACCTCTGCATCTGGCCCTCATCCCATCTGCCTGGAGAGGTCTTCAGAGAGTGATGGCAGCTGGTTCACTTCTGCCTGCCCCATCTTGCACAAGGTCCTCTTTTGGGCCAGCTCTCACCTGGAGCCATACAGGGAACGTGGTTCCCAGCTTCCTGGAGTTGACAGTAGATGCATCCAGCTCGACACCCTGTGAGTTAGCCTGACGGACCTGCTGGCTGTTGTCTGACTATGACAGGTCATTTCATGCCGGTGTCTTTGCAGTGTATGTGCTTTGTCTGCCTGGTGGTTTCTTCTGCCCTTCCTAGTGAGTTTCTCATGTCCTTCAAGACCCAACTCAAATGTTACCTTCACGACTTCCCCAACCACAACCTTCTCTGTTTTCATAGTAGTCCTCTAGCTTTGCATTTAGCAGTTTCGACCACAGTTCCTTTCCACTTTCTCCAATTAGTTCAGGTACTTAAGGACAACTCGTCTAGTGATGGAAACGTTCATGACAAATATGAGCCCAGAATGGTTTCCCAGAAATAAGTTCTATAAAAACCAGCGCATTCACCAAAAGCTTTCTGGTCTGATTTTGCCACACTTGGAGGATAGTGGTGGTAGCAGGGATACCTTACCTCTTGTCAGTGAGAGATTCCACATGCTATAGCCACTCCCACTGCCTCTTGAAGTTACTGGTCAGAGGGTGCAGACCAGCACACAGCTTACTGGAAATAGTATTAGTTTTAGTATTCCCTCTCTTCAACAGTGAGTTTGCCTACGGGCCAGAACAGTGTTTCTGAAGAACGAGTTAGAAGTAGCCTGCCTACTCCGAAAGGCCAGGCAGCCAACTGCAGATTAGATATCTCGAGCTGGGGAAAGAGAATCCAGCAACCATTGCTTAACTGTGTAATGGTAAGATGTCATTTACTCCTTAAGTGTAGAAAGTGGGTCACTTGTTTTTTTCTTTTCCAGATTACAAGGCACTTGGTATCTTGAAGCGGCAGTTCCCTAACACCACTCCAGTAGGGCTGACTGCAACCGCAACAAGCCATGTTCTGAAGGATGCCCAGAAAATACTGTGTGTGGAGAAGTGTTTTACTTTCACGCCTTCTTTTATTTTATTATTATTTTTTTATTTAAAGATTTTATTTATTTATTCACGAAAGACAGAGAGAGGCAGAGGGAGAAGCAGGCTCCCAAGGAGCAGGGAGCCCGATGCGGGACTCGATCCCAGGACCCTGGGATCATGACCTGAGCCGAAGGCAGATGCTTAACCATCTGAGCCACCCAGGCACCCTTCACGCCTTCTTTTAATCAGCCGAATCTTTATTATAAGGTGTGTAACTTCTATGTCAGTTTGTTACTTTTGTGAAGGATTGCAGCGGAGGTTGCCTTTTCGTTATGTTTATTTACATGAGTAACAGTTAATTCTGTTTAAAAGTTTTTAAAATCAGGAGGTGATTATAAGCAGATCAGTAATTAATGCTTTCTTCATGTATCTGTGTTGCTGCATAAATCCTTTGCTGGGTTAAATAAAAGACATTGCCTTGTGAAATTGATGCACATTCTTGTGCAGGGATGGAGGGAAGGTGAAGATTGATACTAAGGACCCTAATGAATCTTGATAGAAGTCACTTAAAAATAATTCAACATGGGGTACCTAGGTGGCTCAGTCAGTTAAGTGGCTGCCTTCGGCTCAGGTCATGATCCCAGGGTGCTGGGATCAAGCCCCACATCGGGCTCCCTTCTTGGCAGAGAGTCTGCTTCTTCCTCTCCCTCTGCTTGCCACTCTGCCTACTTGTGTTCTCTCTCTATCTTTCTGTCAAATAAATAAAATCTTTTAAAAAACAACATTAATATACCATTAAAGATTTGCTAATATTCTATTTAGATTATATAACCTAACAGTTGTTTTTTCATTGTTTCTGATCCTTTTAAGAATAGACAATATTTTTCTGAGTTTTCACTGAAGTTATTAATGCCATGATTTATGTTTTTATAAAAATAGCATCAGAAAATAAAAATGTCTCCATCTTTTTAAGTTGTTCACTGCTTCTATGCCTCCCCACCCCTGGTGGATTCACAGCCAAGGATCAAGAAGAACCTGAGAGGTGGCAGGGTCAGAGGAGGTGAATATAAGAGTAAGAGAAAAAGCACTGTGCCCATAAAAGCATGGCACCCTGAAAGTTGTAAGCAAATGGCTACATGGATGGTCCTATTAATATACTGTGTAATAAGTTAGCTTTTTCTTAGATTCGGCAGAAGCCCTCCAACACTGAAGTTTTTATAGAGGGTATTGTAAAGGTCATTAATGGAGGATACAAAGGGCAATGAGGTAATAGGAAAACAAACCAACTTTGAAGACTCAGAGAGGACTTTTGAAAAGTAATTAGTATTACACTAATCTACCAGTGAATGATTAGCAGCCAAAAAAACTAGTATATGGCAGAAGATACTTGAAAATGGTATGATAAAATGAATTTGCTTGGTGATCTTAGAAATTGGGTGTGTCATTTGCTCATGGGACAGATTATAAGAGTCAAACTGTTTGATTTATTTTTGTTTATTTACACCTAATTGCTTTAAATAGTGGACCTAATGACATAATGCTAATTATCAACAGCACATGTTTAGTAAGTATCCACTGTGTATAAGATAGAAGGTTAAACAGCGATTTTCTGAAGGGATGTAAAAAACAGACGTTTAATAGTAAAGGACACATTAAGGAATAAATAGTACATATTGAATGAATTAACTGTAGATGGAGTTGAGAGTATTTGTGTTCTAGGATTAATGCATAGACAGGTGTTACTGAAGCACAGAGTTTGTGTAAAAGTAGCATTTCAAAGCTCTTCTACAGATTTGCAGGAGATATTAATGGTGCACTGGGTGAAAGGAGCTCCAGGGTCAAATTTGAGAAAGACTGCAGCTCTTTATCCCACCTGGAGCTTCAGAGGGTATATCAGTCAGCACATGAGAAGTTTAGGCCAGCCCTGCAAATAGAGAAATCTGTTACCTCTGTTCAGTGTAGGTCCCCAGTCACTTGCACATGAAACTTTTCACATTATACTCGAGAGAAAAACGAGGTAATGGGAACCAACAGTGGTGGCCCAGGGCTTATTTGTGCTTTAGAGCAAGCTGCTGATCAAATCTTGAATTATACCAGAAAGTCATATATGTTCAGGACCTTGGAATCTTTCCTAAATCTTTTCCCCCCATGCATTGTATTAATCAGTATTTTGAATGTATGTTAAAAAATTATATATATCTAACAATTGGACGTATTTTACTACAGGAATATATTGCTTTTCTTAGACTCCAAGCAAGTTACAGTTAGTTTATAGAAACTGGGAATTCAAGCAGGAGCGTACCATGCCAATATGGAACCAGAAGATAAGACCAATGTTCATCGAAGATGGTCAGCCATTGAAATTCAGGTTAAGTATGTATCTTCAATAGAAGTCTAATTAACATTTTAAAATATTTTAACTTGATTAACATATAATGTTAAAACATTTTAATTACTAGTGGCAACGGTTGCATTTGGTATGGGAATTGATATAGCAGATGTGAGATTTGTTATTCATCATTCAATGAGTAAATCTATTGAAAATTATTACCAAGAGCGTGGATGTGCAGGTATGTATAACTCCTATCCAGAAGTAACTTTTAACAGAGCTTTTCTAGAAAACACACTATGGATGAGGTTTAATGATTCTGTATTTTTAATCTTCTTTATTAGCTAGTATTTTTAGAACAATGAAGTCTTTTTTTGCAGTTTTATACTTATTTGTACTTATGTACTTAAATGCTTATCTTACTTGTATGGGAGTGTTATGAATTGTTTCCTGTGTTTGCTAAGATAATTTGATGTTCATCTTTGCCTTCTGAATTTTTAATTAGTGGTTTCAAATTTATAACTTCAATAATTAGATTATTTATGCACATATTTTTTAAGCTGATTGTTGATGTCTCTTTAGTCATTTTTTTCTCTTTATAATTTGAAGGCAGTTGCTACAAATTAACTTGCACATCTCTGAAATTTCTAGATGTGATATATTTAGACTATAAAGTGTTGCCAGCTGACTTTATATATATTATTTTTGCCTATTTTGAAATTTTCAAGTAATTATGCAATCTCAAGATTTCTCACACTATAGGTCGAGATGACATGAAAGCGGACTGTATTTTGCATTATGGCTTTGGAGATATATTCAGAATAAGTTCAATGGTGGTAATGGAAAATGTGGGACAACAGAAGCTTTATGAGATGGTGTCATACTGTCAAAACATAAGCAAGTAAGCCACATACCTTTTTATAACTTGTCATTTAAACATAAGCACTATATGAAATTACTTTGAGTACTTGCTCAGTAAGTAAATACACTGGTAGAATATCAAGTACAAACCTGTAAAAGCAAATGTCTGAAGCGTGGGAACCAGTACATGAACCCTCAGGATCTGCCTTAATTCAAGAAGAGATATTCTCTCTCCCTGATAATCCTCCAAAACTATTTTTTATTGTTCTTTTTTATTTAAGTAAAACAAGCATATTGAGATGATTTTTTTTAATTGAAGAATAATTGACATACAGTATTGTATTAGTTTCAGGTATACAACATAGTGAATCAGTATTCATATACATTATGAAATGGTCACCACAGTAAGTCTAGTGACCCTCTGTCACCCTACAAAGTTGTTACTATAATGGACTGTATTCCCTCTGCTGTATATTTTATCCCCTGATTATTTTATAATTGGAAGATTGTACCTCTTAATCCCCTTCACCTATTTCATCCATCCCCCTTTTATTGAAAGTTTTGATCTAAATTGACAGTGAGTCCAAACCTTTTCTCTCTGGCTCTGGCATACAGCTACATGCTTTACTAATTCTGAAAAGGTATATACGGTTGGCATTTTGAGAGCTGAGCTAGGTAACATGTACCATCTCACCAGCTGATGGGTTGATGAAATAGTTGAGAGCAGGGTTAAGTTTTTCCTTAAGAAATAAATTTAGGGGTGTCTGGGTGGCTCAGTCGGTTAAGCATTTGCCTTTGGCTCAGGTCAGTGCCTGCTTCTCCCTTGCCCTCTGCCCCTCCCCCCACCCCACCTACACCCGCTCATGCTCTCTGGCTCTCAAATAAAATTTTTTTTTTAAAAAAAAAAAGAGATTTAAATCTATTTAGGGTGGTTTTAGACCTTTAGGTCCCTTTTCAGTAGTAGTCATCTTTATACCCTTATTGCCATCCTAAAAAGGATTCAGAAATTTTGAACTGATAAGCAGTTACTGGACAGTGACAGAAAATGTCATTTCTTTTCTATAGGTGGTGCAACAATCTAGATAATAAGAAAATGAAAGTTTCCTTATATATCCAATAAACTCTCAAGAAGCGTGTTTTGGGATTTAGAGTCAAACTGATACTGTAAAGTACAAAAAATGCTTTGATATCAGGAAGATTGTCTTAATAGCTGCAAAATATTGAATCTCAAAGTGAATCCCAGACAACATCTAAAAGCAATGTTTATCAGGTACATATGGAAAAAATTGTATGTAGTAGGCAGAAGAATAGTTCCCCAAAGCTGTCTACATCCAAATTCCTGGAAACTGTAATTTACCTTCCATGGCAAAAGAGAATTAAAAGATTGCAAATGTGAATTAAGGTTGCTTAATCAGCTGACCTTAAAATTGGAATATAACCCTGGGTTGTTTGGATGGGTCCAGTATAATCATAAGGGTCCTTAAATGTGGAAGGAAGCAGGAAAGGTCAGAATGATACTTGTTGGCTTTGAAGATGGAGGAAAGGGGGACATGAGCCAAGGAATACACGAAGTCTCTAGAAACTGGAAAGGACAAGGAAACAGATTCCACCCGAAAGCCTCCAGAAGAAATCCATCCCTGCTGACACCTTGATTTTAAGCCAAGGAGACCCATGTCAGACTTCTAACCTGTAGAAATGTAAGATAATAAATCTGTGTTGTTTTAAGCCACTAAGTTTGTGGTAATGTTAATGACAGCAATAGGAAACTAATATAGTCTATAACTCTGTGTTTTTAAATAGGCATTATTAAAACTTCTTAGGTCATTTAATAATTTGTAACTCTATATGTGTTTGCAGGTGTCGCCGTGTATTGATAGCTCAACGTTTCGATGAAGTGTGGAATTCAGAAGCATGCAACAGAATGTGTGATAATTGTTTTAAAGACATTGGTGAGTTCACTGTTTTTCTAATTGAAGTAGTGGTACGTTAGTGTCAGGTGTACAACATAGTGATTCCGTAAGTCTGCACACTGTGCTGCCCACTACAAGTGTAGCTACCATCCGTCACCGTGCAGTGCTGTTACAGTACCACTGACTACATATTCCCTGTGCTGTACCTCTCACTGCATGACTTCCTCATTCCATACCTGTAAGCCCATACTCCCACTTCCCTTCATCCGTTTTACCCATCCCCCCACCTCCCTCCCCTCTGGCAAACATCGGTTTGTTTTCTGTATTTGTGGGTCAGTTTCTGCTTTTTTGTTTATTCCTTTGTTTTGTTTTTTAGGTTCTACATACAAGTGAAATCCTGTGATATTTGTCTTTAACTTATTTCACTTACTATAATACCATCTAGGCCCATTCATATTGTTGCAGATGGCAAGATCTCATTCTTCTTTATGGCTGAGTAACATTCCATTGTGTATACATACTACATCATCTTTATCCATCCATCTGTCAATGGACACTCGGGTTGCTTCCATTATCTTGGCTATAAACATGGGAGTGCATTTATCTTTTATATTAGTGTTTTCAATTTCTTTGGGTAAATACCCAGTGGAATTACAGGATCACAAGGTAATTCTATTTTTAATTTTGTGAGGAACCGCCATACTGGTTTCCACAGTGGCTGCACCAGTTGTATTCCCACCAATGCTGCAAAAGGGTTCCCTTTTCTCCCCATCCTCATTGGCCCTTGTTGTTTCTTGTCTTCTGGATTTTAACCCTTCTGACAGGTGTGAAGTGATATCTCACTGTGGTTTTCATTTGTATTTCCCTGATGTTTAGTGATTGCATCTTTTCATGTTTCTATTGGCTATTTGTATGTCTTCTTTGGAAAAATGTCTATTCAGGTCTTTTGCCCATTTTTTAATTGGATTATTTGGGGCTTTTTTTGGTGTTGAGTTCATAAGTTCTTTATCTATTTTGGATATTAACCCTTTATTGAATATGTCATTTGCAAATATCTTCTCCCATTCAGTAGGTTATCTATTAGTTTTGTTGATGCTTTTCTTCACTGTGCAAAAGCTTTTTATTTTGGTGTGATTCCAGTAATTTATTTTTGCTTTTGTTTCTCTTGTGTCAGGAGACATATCTAGAAAAATGTTGCTATGGCCAATGTCAAAGAAATTACCGTCTATGTCCTCTTCTGACATTGTATGGTTTGAGGTTTCATGTTTAGGTCTTTAATCCATTTTGAGTTTGGTTTTGTATATGGTGTAAGACAGTGGTCCAGTTTCATTGTTTTGCATGTAGCTGTCCAGTTTTCCCAGCACCATTTATTGAAGAGACTATCTTTTTCTTTATTGTATTTTCTTGCATCCTTTGTCATAGATTAATTGACCATAGAAGTGTGGGTTTATTTCTGGGCCCTCTATGTTGTTCCATTGATCCGTGTCTATTTTTGTGCCAGTAACATACTGTTTTGATTATTACACTGGTGGTATATCTTGAAATGTGGGATTTGAAATCCAGCTTTGTTCTTAAGATTTCTTTGGCTGTTTGAGGTCTTTTGTGGTTCCACACAAATTTTAGGATCATTTGTTCTAGTTCTGTGAAAAATGCTGTTGGTATTTTGATAGAGATTATTGCACTGCATCTGTAGATTGCTTTGTGGAGTAGGTATTTTACCAGTATTCTTCCAATCCATGAGCATTGTCTTTCCATTTGCTTGTGTAATCTTCAATTTCTTTCATCAGTGTTTTATAGTTCTCAGAGTACAGGTTCTTTTGCCTCCTTGGTTGTTTATTCCTGGGTATTTTATTACGTTTGGCACAGTTGTAAATGGAATTGTGTTTTTAATTTATTTTTCTGCTATTTCATTAGTATATAGAAATGTAGCTGATTTTCTGTATATTAATTTTGTATCCTGTAACTTTACTGAATTCATTTATTCTAATACTTTTTGGTGTAGTCTTTAGGGTTTTTTTTGTATAGTATTAGGTCACCTGTAAATGGTGGCATTTTAACTTCTTCCTTACAAATATGGGTTTCTTTTATTTCTTATCTGATTGCTGTGGCTAGGACTTCCAGTACTATGTTGAATAAAAGTGATGACAGTGGACATCCTTGTTTTGCTCCTGATCATAGAGCAAAAGCTCCCACTTTTTCACCATTGAATGTAGGCTGCAAAATCTTCAAGTATGGCCTTTATTATGTTGAGGTATGTTCCCTCTAAACTCACTTTGTTGAGTTTTTATCATGAACAGATGTTGTATTTTGTTAAATGCTTTTTCTGCATCTATTGAGATCATATGGTTTTTACCCTTCCTCTTATAAATGTGTAATTGATTTGCAAATATTGAACTATCCATGTATCCACAGAATCACTTCTACTTGATTGTGATGAATAATCCTTTTAATGTATTGCTAAAAGTGGTTTGCTAATATTTTGTTGAGTTTTGCATCTATGTGCATTGTGGATATCGGCTTGTAGTTTTCTTTTTGTCTGTTTTCTTTGGTTTTGCTATCAGGGTAAGTCTGGCCTCATGGAATATATTTGGAAGCCTTACTTCCACTTCTATTTTTTTGGTATAGTTTGAGGAGAATAGGTATTAACTCTTTTTTGAGTGTTTGGTAGCATGTACCTAAGAATCCATCCGGTCTTGGACTTTTTTGTTGGTAATTTTTTGATTATCATGTCCATCTTGTTACTAGTAATTGGTCTATTCAGACTTCTATTTCTCCCTTATTCAGTTTTGGAAAATTCTGTTTCTAGGAATTTATCCATTTATTCTAGGTTGTCCAATTTGTTGGCATATGATTTTTCACAATACTCTCTTACAGTCCTTTGTATTTCTGTGGTGTCAGTTGTTACTTCTCTTTCATTTCTGATTTTTTTTTGGCCCCTCTCATTTTTTCTTGGTGAGTCTGGGTAAAAGTTCATCAATTCCATTTATCTTCTCAAAGAACCAGCTCTTGGTTTCCTTGATCATCTTTTTTTCTTTAGTTTCTATTTCATTTACTTCTGCTTTGATCTTCATTATATCCTTCCTACTTATGTTGGGTTTTGTTGTTTATTTCCTTTGGGTATAAGGTTAGATTGTTTACTTGAGATTTTTCTTGTTGCTTGAGGTAGGTTTGTATGGCTATAAATTTACCTGTCATAGAACTGCTTCTGCTGTGTCCCAAAGATTTTGGACCATTGTGTTTTCATTTTCATTTGTCTCCGTGTATTTTTTAAATTTCTTCTTTGTTGACCCATTGGTTGTGTAGTAGCGTGTTTTTTAGCCTCCACGTGTTTGTGTTTTTTCCAGTTTTTTTCTTGTGATTGATTTCTAGTTTCATACTGTTGTGGTCGGAAAAGATGCATAGTATAATCAGTCTTCTTAAATTTATTGAGACTTGTTTTGTTCCCTAATGTGATCTGTTCTAGAGAATGCTCCATGTGCACTTGAATGTGTGATCTGCTATTTTTGGATGGAATGTTTGTGTATATCTGTTATGTTCATCTAGTCTAACATGTCATTCAAAGACAGTATCCTTTATGACTTTCTGCTTGGATGATGTATCCATTGATGTAAATGAAGTGTTTAAGCTCCCTGTCATTATTGTGTTACCATCCATTTCTCCCTCTATCTGGTTGTGTTTACCTTGTGTATTTTTTAATTAGCATTTTTTTAAGTTTTTATTTATTTAAGTAATCTCTACACCCAGTGTGGGGCTCAGACTAACTGACCCCAAGACCAAGAGTCACATATTCTTCCTACTGAGTCAGCCAGGTGCTCCTGCTTGATATATTTAGATGCTTCTATATTGGGAGCATAGATATTTACAATCCTTATATCCTCTTGTTGGATTGGTACCTTTATCATTATGTAATGTTCTTCTTTGATTCTTGATACAGTCTTAGGTTTTTTGGTTTGTTTTTTAAAGATTTTATTTATTTATTTGACAGAGAGAGAGAGAAAGAGCACACAAGCAGGGGGAGCAGCAGAGGGAGAGGAAGAAGCAGACTCTCCGCTGAGCAGGGAGCCCGATGTGGGGCTCGATCCCAGGACCCTGAGCTTAAGGCAGACGCTTAACTGGCTGAGCCACCCAGGCGCCCCATACAGCCTTAGTTTTAAAGTCTATTTTGTCTGATGTATGTATGTACTGCTACTCCGGCTTTTCTTTTTGCTTCCATTTGCATATGTTTTTCCATTCCTTCACTTTCAGTCTGTATGTGTCTTTAGGCCTGAAGTAAGTCTCTTATAGACAGCATATACATCTGTCTTGTTTTTTTAATCCATTCTACCACCCTGTGTCTTTTGAGTGGAACATTTAGACCATTTACATTTAAAGTAATTATTGATAGCTATGTACTTACTGACATTTTGTTGATTGTTCTTTGGTTGTTTTTGTAGTTCTTCTCTGTTCCTTCCGTTGTTCTCTTTGTGATTGCTGACTTTCTGTAGTATTTTGTTTCACTTTCTCTTTTATTATTATTCTTTTTCATTTCTTTTCACTTTTTTGAGTATAGTTGACACACAATATTAGTTTCGGATGTACAACATAATGATTCAGCAACTCTATACATTATGCTGTGCCCATCACAAGTGTAGCTACCATGTGTCACCATGCGACACTGTTACAGTACCATCCACTATATTCTATATACTGTCCCCCCCCGCCCCCTTTTTTTTTTTTAACCTATTCTAGGTTTGGCATTTGTGATTATATATGAACTTTGGAAGAAGCAGGGAGCCTGACATGGGGCTTGATCCCAGGACTCTGAGATCATGACCTGAGCTGAGGGCAGCAGCTTAACCAACTGAGCCACCCAGGTGCCCCTTTGTGGGTATTCTTGATTGCAGGGGTTTTTGTTTTGTTTTTTTTCCTTTCAGCACTTTGAATGTATCATGCCAGTCCCTTCAGGCCTGCAGTTTCTGCTGAAAAATCAGTTGATAGCCTTGTGGAGTTTCTCTTGAACATAACTTTGTTTCTCTCTTACTGCTTTTACAATTATCTCTTTAGCCTTTGACATTTTAATTATGTGTTGTGGTGTTGAGCTTCTTGAGTTTATCTTCTTAAGGGGCTCTACGTGCTTCATGAATCTGAATGTCTGTTTCCTTCCCTTGATTAGGGAAGTTTCCAGCTATAATTCTTCAAATACATTTTCTACCACCTTCTCTCTCCTCCTTCTGGGACCTCTATAATATGAATGCTTGTTCACTTGATGCTGTCCAACAGATCACTTAACGTAACCTCATTTTAAAAAATTCTTTATTTTGGGGGGGCGCCTGGCTGGCTCAGTTGATGGAGGATGTGACTCTTGATCTCTGGGTCGTGAGTTCAAGCCCCATGTTGGGCATAGAGTTTACTTAAGAAAAAGAAATAAAAATTAAAATAAAAAAAATACTTATGTCTGCTGTTCAGCTTGGGTGCTTTCCATTACCCCATCTTCCAGATCATTCTTCTGCATTCATTAATCTACTTATGATTCCTTCTAGTGTTTTTTCTTTAAGTTGTATTCTTCAGCTCTGGTTTTTTATATTTTCCAGGTCTTTGTTGAAGTTCTGAGTTCTACTCTTCTCTCCAACCCAGTACCTATCTTTATGATCATTACTTTAAATTCTTCATCAGGCACATTGCTTATTTCTGTTTCATTTATTTTTTTCTGAGGTTTTGTTCATTTGGGTCATATTCCTTTCTCTCCCCATTTTGCTTGACTTTGTGTTTTTCTATGAATTAGGCAGAACAGCTGCTTTTCCTAAACTTGAAGGAACGGTCTTGGTATGTGGTTGTCCCCTATGTAAACTGTATATACCTGGTGACTTTTACTGGCTGGCTGGAGCTGTGGCTGGCATGGGTTGGGGATTGCAGGGTGCTCCATACTGGGGCTGCCCTGGTGGAATGGTTGGAGTTTAAGTGGGTGTGGGCTGGGAGTGGGTCCTGAGGCTTTTTGCAGAGGATGCCCTGGCAGGACAGCTGAAGGTAAATGTGTTCAAGCTGGCGGCTCTCCACACAGAGGATGCTCGGGCAGGACAGCTAATGCTGAAGTGGGTGCCAGCTAGTGTGGTCCCTGGGCTCTGTGCACAGTGGCACTCTGCATGACACCTGAAGCTGAAGTGGTTGTAAGCTGTGGGTGGTCCCAGGGTTCTCTGTGCAGAGGACACCCTAGCAGAATGGCTGAAACTCAAGTGGGGGTAAGCTGGGGTGCTCTGGAGTGTGTGGAAGGTGCCCTGGTGGGGGCAGCCATAGCTGAAGTGGTTGCTGTCTGGTGGGTCCCTGGGTGCTTTGTGCTGGGCACCAACCAGGAAGGATAATTATAGCTGAAATGGGCACGGACTGGGATTGCCCTAGGGTAGGGTTCTGTATAGACGGTGCACTGGAAGGACAACTGAAGCAGGTGTAAGCCAGGTTGTCCTGGCCGGGCAGCTGGATCTGAAAAAAGGCATCAGCCAGGGGTGCCCTAGAAAGCCATCTGAAGCCAAAGCAGTGCAGGCCTGCAGTGTTCCAGGGTGCTTTGTGCCTGCCTCAGTGTGGCAAGGCAGCTGCAGCTGTAATGAGCACTGACCAGGGCTGTCCTCTTGTGCACCACCATGGGGCCGCCTTGGTTGGAGAGCTGGGGCTGGTGTGGTTTGGGGGCCCAGGGCTCACTGAGGCAGTAGGCTGATAGGACGCCTGGACCCTGCTCCCATCTATGCTGTCAAGGTGGTGGGGGAACGTAAACTGTGGCACTCACTGGACCCTCCAACCCAGAGATAGTTAGCAGGGTTCAAGAACTATTTCCTTTATATTCTGGTTGCTCTTTTAAGCCATGGCTTTTATTTTCTGTTGCCCAGATAGACAAATCTGCTCCTGGTACCTCGCTACTATCCTCTGCACTGCAGTTGGCAGCATCGGGGGTGGGGTCACCCTTTGTTACCACCTCTCAGTCTCTCTCACTGTTCTGTAGGGTGAAGAATAACCCTCAGTTATTCTTCAGGAGGAATTGCCTATAAATAGGTATAGATTTGGTGTGCCTTTGGAAGGGAGTTCAGGATCTTCCTATGTCACCATCTTGGACTGGAACACTCCCTAGCTGTTTTTTAAACTGTATAGGCTAATATATATAGCTAGGACTACATGAGGGCAATATTAGACCCCAAAATGGATTAAGCAAGCTGTGAATAGCATTTTCTAGATTCAAAAGTAACTCAAAGTTTTTAAAACAAGGTAAATAAAAGGAAAAGTGATATGTGTATGCATCTATTTTATATTGCTAATACTAAGGGCATGTTTTTAAGAATTGAAGGGAGAGGTGTAAATTCCTCTGAACAGAAATATTATTTATATAAGAAAAGGCTAATCTCTAATACCTTATAGTCCCTAATTGGGAAGAGAAATTTAATGCAAAAGAGAGATTAGAGGCAATCATTTTTGAACCAGATAATGGCTAACCACTCATAAGACACTAATTTAGCAGTATTTTGGTGCTGCATTTTAACTTTTTTCATCCTGTGTGTATGTTGTGTCTGAAGAGCTGGACTAACCAGTTCCCCCCTCACAGAGTTCTGATGCCTTGGTGGGTAAAGGTCATTACAATTTTAACTTTGCAACTAGAGAAACTTGTATATGAGTTTATTATACTGCATTATGCTGACATTAACAGGAGTCTGATATATATAAATCAGGGTGCTAGAATCAATAATTAGGAATATCTGAGGACATTCTTGTCTCTAAATCAGAGTACCGAGAAAGCCATAGTTTTCAGAATATTGCTCAATGAGCACAAATCCAGTAAATATGAAGATAGCTGGAGGGGGGAGATGAACCATGAGACACAATGGACTCTGAGAAACAAACTGAGGGTTCTAGAGGGGAGGGGGTAGGGGGATGGGTTAGCCTGTGGTATTAAAGAGGGCACGTTCTGCATGGAGCATTGGGTGTTATACACAAACAATGAATCATGGAACACTACATCAAAAACTAATGATGTGATGTATGGTGATTAACATAACAAAAAAGACTGAAAAAAAAAGAATAGACTGATTCTCTTATAACTCTCAGTCATGTCTGGCAGACACCCTGGTTCATAGAGCATACCCCAAGATCTTCTGGTAACCAGCTTATAACTTGGTGATAGACTTGAGGAGTAGCCTAGTTTGGGTTCAGAACAAATTAAATCAGTGTTCAGGGTGGTGCATGTTGATGGCTCATTTTAAGCCAGTTTAACCACTTAGACTAGCCTGTCCTTAATTTCTAAATCCCAGTTGCCTGTCTCATTACAGCATGTGAAAGAATTTAACAGCCCACTGCAGAGATCTAATCAAGATCCTGAAGGAGGCAAAGGATCTGAACGAAAAGCTTACTCCACTGAAACTGATTGAGAGTGATAGGTGTTGCTCCCCCAAACTTCCCATAAAGACCTGGTGAAAATTACTGCACACCTTCTCCTATAGCAGTAGCTTAAGTATATACAATCCATTTCTTGTCCTTTGGTGGTGTCTTTAAAACTGCAACAGAACAAGTGGTTTTCCAGTTGTTTCATGTAAACTTTTAAATGCCATATAAAATTTACAAATACAATTTATAGAAAGTGTTTTGTGCAAGTTTCCTATCAGTGTATTAAAATTACTGCACTTAGCTATAATTTTTATAATTTCTTAAAACCTTTCTGATTGTTGGCCTACACCTTCCACAGAGACTTCATATTTGAAAATAGGATCTACAGCTAATCTGAATAGTGATGGACATCTTATCACCATGCAAGTAAAGAAGCCCATACAGAGCTGTTTCAGGGTAACTGGCTATTAATTTCTATATAGTGAAAAAACACATTAAAGCTTATGGGATAGTACTGTCCTGGGTCCAGTGGAACATACCTTTTTTTTCTACAGAGATATTAGGGAACAGAATTTAAACTAGTCTATTAATTTTAATATAGACAAGGGTTTCCAACCTTTCAGAAGAAGAAAAATCCATTTTAGTGTTGTCTAATTTGCGATGCACCCTGCCCTCACAACATTGGTTGTGAAGTCGGCCTGTGCAGCAGAGGTCGAGAACCAACGACTCTCCCACACTCAATACTCTCAAGCCTGCAAAAGCATGCCACATACCACTTGTGTCTCTGACAGCATATCCCTTCAGGAGAGGGCTCATATTTGAGTAGATACTTGGAAGATACAAAACAAAACCACTAGACACTTAACTGAAGAGCTGATATAGAAGAACCAGTGGTATTATTAATCTGAAGAGAAAATGGAACCACTGAGTTTTGACCAGAATGTTTGCTTTGTTTTTATTTGTAGATTCATTCTGAAGGAGCTGATAAAAAGAGGGAAGAAAAACATCCAGGTAACTTTCAGAAGTCTGCAAACATGCTTCAGCAATCTAAGAATAAACTGATGCATGAGATAGGTGTTTATTTTCCAAGAAAAGAGTTTAAGACAATTTTATTAATATTTTATACATATGGAACTTTATTCTACATTTTTCTCATTTCATACTGTCAATTTTTGATGTGAAATACTCAAGTTCAAATAACTACCTTAAACTCTTATGCCTTGATATGTTTATTTTCTTTTGATATAACCAACATTTGATAGCAAAGTTATCATATGGAATATTTTACAAAGGCTTATTAGACAGGGAGTTATTTCAGCTCATAACACCTGTAGAATCCAAACGTAAACACAATAAGGTATCAATATAAATTTGAAACCATAACCCTCTCTGAGATTTCACAATCAGAATGACTCTGGTATGCCAGACTAAGTTGTTGGCTAAGTAGATAACAACTTAGCTAAATCAGAAATGAGTAACTTAAATCCTTACATTTATATAAGTGGTCAGTTTTGTGTTGTAAAGTTCAAATAATTTCCATACATTTTCCCACTGAAATCATTATCACTTCTGTATTCTTCATTTAATCAGTGCATTTACCTTATTGTGACTTTGTGTTTTTTGGAACTTTATGTAGTTCTTGAAATGCCTTTTTTAGTCAAAATAATCTTCTAAATCAATATTTGGATCTAGCAGATCTTCTCCATATGATGAAAGATCGGTCTGATTTAAAATTAAGTTTTCAAATGTTTCTTCTAAGTCAGTTTCACCAATTAAGACAGCTCCCATCATTCGCCCATTCTGCATGACAACTTTGATGTATTCTTGTCCTTTGGTACATCTCAGCATTAATTCATGATCTGAACCTAAGCCCTGTGCGTTGTATTTTCCCAGCAGTACAACCTATAGGTGAGGATAAAAACATGATTCTAATGAGTCCAAAAAGGAAACACTATATGTAGTTATAGTAGGTTGTTACTCTAGAAATCTCACAAAAATTGGGGAGTGTCCCAAAGAAAACATTTGAATGGCACTGCATTTATTGTACAGATGACACCACCACACAATCTCTGAACATTAAAAATATCTAGGATCTGGACTGCATCAGCTTAGAGTCATGAAGAATATGCAAGGCAAAGCACTGGGTTCATCCCTGAGTATGACAGCTATTGGTTCCCCTCACAAAGCAAGAATGAATCTCAAACAGGAAATAAGCCTAGAAAAAAAACCAGGTACTGATTTCCAAGAAATTTTGTAAAATAATTATTTAGATGGTTTAAGACTAACAATCAGAAAAAGGCACTAATTTGCTTATCTATTTTACCTTATAGTTAAAAAATTTTGTTACATGAGCAAAAAGTTCAAAGCTGAAGTCCATGTCAGTAGATTCTCCTAAACTAGCTGCAGCCATGCACTTCGCTGCATACCATCCCATCTGTCTAGCCTGCGTCCACAGCCTCATCTGAAAGAAAAAGATGTTATGACATAAAAGTTTTCATTGTTCTACTTTAACAATACTTTACAGAATTCCTTAAAGGGGTTCACTGTTGACAGTCCTTGAGATTGGCTAGATCAGCGAGCTAGAGGACTAGTTCGATTGTCTCTGCCATAGAAGCAGTTACCAATCCACACTAACCAAACTTGATTTTGCTATTTGATATTACTGCCTTTAAAATTAAAGGACAATACCAAATCTATGTTTCAATAAACTATTACATATAAATACAACATTTCAGGGTATACCAGGTAAGAATACTACTAATTAACCAGTCTCCTTTTTCAGAGTAAGTTCATCATCATCAGTAGAGCTGACAAATTATCACTGAAAAATTCATTCTTCTTCCTAATCCTTAGATTGTGGTGCTAAATCGATGTATGAGTTGGTTGTCCAGCCTCAGGAAATCTTATCAGATTTCAGCAACTGATGCTGGGAATTTTAAATTCTTCCCTTACATTATTAATTTCTCCTTTACTGTATGTTTATTTCTACAAAGTTTTAGAAATCCCTGATAGAATACTGGCTGTGAAAGTCAAGACATTAACTCTTCTACATATTTAACTTTTCATTTTTATTTATTTTATTAACAGCCTTAACTTCTTCACCTGAAACATAAATGTACACCACCTATTCCATGGCTATTGAGAAAATTAAATAAGCTAACCTACACCCCTGTGTGTAACTAATGTCCTTTTGTGTGCAAAAATACTACCACAATCATTTCTAGTAGAATGGATAGATTTTTTCAATTCCGTCTCCTGTGTATAAACAGGATTGGTTTGATGAAGTGAAAGGGAGTCTGTGGGAAGGGAGCAGAGCAAACTGAGCACAACACTCGAGAATGGCTAATGGAGGCGGCCGGCAGTGTTACACTGTTACTTAATGTCTACCAGCCTCTGAGTCCCTCCAGTTTGGGTCCTGGATCATGGAAAACTAATTAGTGTACTTACTTATTGCTCCTACAAATGAAGACACGAGGTCTAAAACAAGAGACAGCTGTTTATTTTTGGATATTGCCTATAGCAGAGTATGACACGTAATAAGGATATAATTTATCCTAGAGGGTTTAAAGTGTTCAAAAAAATCCCACAAACGCCAATTCCTGAGAGTTGAAGACAGATACGCCACAGAATGATTACAGAAAAAAATTGAAAACAAGCTAGCACTTTAGAAACAGGCCAAAAGCACTCTTCTGTTTGTAAAAACACGCAAAGTATTGAAGTGGCCTCTTAGAATGCATCTGGCCCTTCCGCTACTTCTTTCACCAAGTGTTGCCTGGTTCTTTTATCTGTAACATCTACCTGTGTCTCTACTCCTCCTAAGACCACCTCGCCTACGGCCGAGGTCTAAGTATCTTCCTCAAGGATTTCTGCTCCACCGTGAGGAGGCGGGCAGCACCGTGAGGGCAGGAGGATGTGGACATCCAGATGGACGGAGTTGTTCAGCTGAGGAAGGCTGTTCACTATAGGAAACTTTTTCAGTCATAATTCCCACAGAGACAGAACTGGGTCATCAGGATCGCAAGGGGTCATCATCTATACGGTTTATACCTCAGTATGTTATTTATTCATCTAGAGCTGCTCTGTCCAGTCTGGTAGCCACTAGACGCAGGGAGCTATTTAAACTTAAATGTAAATAAAATTAAAATTCAGTTCCTCAGTCTCACTCAGCACATCTTAAGTGCCAACAGAGACATGTAGGCTGGTGACTACCTGACTGGACACTGCAAAGGTATAGAACGTTTCTGTCATCACAGAGTTCCACTGGACAGTGCTGATAAGTATTTGAAGATGAAAAAGTCATAGCCCATAATTTTTTCAATTACAAGGCATACCAGTGTGTTCCATCACTATAGAATTTACCAAAAGGGAAACATTTTTTTTTTTTTTTAAATGTCTAGGATAGCCTCCTACTTAAAGTAGCAAAGTGGGAAAACCAGAAATTTGGATTTGCTGGTAGTGACTCACTCCTGTACCGTCAGATGGAATCTGATACAAGGTGTGATGGTGGATGCCGGCTTACCTGCTGCCACACCGGGCTGGGCCTCCAGGATGCGGTGCAGATGTCACCCGCAGCATAGACATCAGAGAGAGACGTGTGCATGTGAGCATCCACTTTCAGGCCTCCGTCTTCTCCTAGATCAAACTAAACAACATTCCTGATAAGCATACATGGGAAGAAAAATGAAAGGTGTCTTTTGTTCTAAAGTGAAAGAACAAGTCAAATTTTTACACCTCGTTATGCTGGTCTTCGGTGAGCGAGTAAAAAACAGCTGCCAAGTTTAGACAACTCAGCTGAATTTCCAGGGAATCAAAATCCTACTAGGACAGACCAACCAAAACATTCGTAGACTTTTAAGATCAAGAACACTCAGTAACCATATGATTACCCCACTCGTAATTACAATATTCCTCAGTTTTCTGAGCTTCAAATGCTAAAAGGCAGAAAATACAAGATAGTTTCTCTAGTAGAATCATCAACCTTTAGACAAATGAATTGTGCATTATGTCCTATTTATGAAGACACTTACACTGGGACGTTTACTGCTTAAGGACTTTAGGCAATACGAAATACTGTAAATAAAACATGACTGTAAACTAAATTGTTTTCAGCTTCCTTAAGTTATAGTTTTACACTAAAACAATGAATAGTTATTATGCTTGAGAATTAGAAATCTCATACTACTTTAAAAATATTCATAGCAGGACAAAATAGTTCACCTTACACTGTTGCCACAGAGGAAAGGTTCTGTATTTGGTGTAACTCCTGTAGCACTGACAATGAAATCACAGCCGTATATCTTTTCATTAGTCAATTCCACATATACAGGCCATATTTCTTTAAAACAAACAAACAAACAAAACACCTTCACTCTCAAATGTAATCATCACCAGCTGTCATTAGCATTATGTGAATATAACGCCTAGAACAGTGAAAGAAAAAAGCAGGAGAGGACTTTAAAATGTACCTCTTAATAATTTTATAAGGCACATTTGCTTAAACAATTATAATGCAATCAGCATTATCTCCTTGTTTTCAGTATACTTACAAAATTACGGCATTCTAAACATTTTTCCTTCAAATTTAGACAAAGAACTTCCAACAAAATGATTTTAAACTGACAATCACTTTATAAATTATTTCTTTAAAACTATTAAGCTATTATACTCCACTGAGAATTTAGTCCAAATAGACTACTCACTTTTCAGTGTTTTCCCTTACTATTCATATTCCAACTCCATCACTACCTTTTCCCATGGAAAGACTCAAAGAATTCAAAGACAGTGGAATGTCTTATATGCTAGTTCTCACAGGAAATGTGAAAGAGGGATTAGATCTGTTTCTTAATCCCAAGTTTACAGATTTTCAATCTGTTTGATTTTGGGGAAGTCACTTCATCTTCTGAGAGTATCGAAGTTTTTTTTAGTTGATAACTGTTTTGAGCTGCAAGATATTCTGATTGACGCACAGAGTTCTGGTGGTCAAAGCACCAGGAGCCCCATGTAAAATGTAAAGCTGAATACAAACTATTAGGAAACTTGAAGACTAAGTAATGAAAATAAAATGACTTACATTATTGTTTCATTTTTACTTTTTATGTTTAAATTTCATATGGAAATTAAAGTTTTTTAATATAGTAAGATTAAGTAAGGTTTTTTTCCTTTTAAATTACTGGTTATTGTATTTTTTTCCTTATTTTATTACTTACCTTTATCAGTTGTCACTGACTGATTAGAATGGTCTCTGGGAAAAGGCAAGGACTTTTTCTTAGAAATTCTAAATTCTTCCTGAAGGTAGATTTTCTTTACTTCACACATAGTTTCAATATGAATCTTATGAGAAAACTAAAGAAATACTGGTCACCATACAATTCCCCAAAAAATGACTTAGGTTGCTAATGATTATAAAAAGTTACAATACACTTATAGAAACATATAGAAAAAATAATTCTTATAATATAAATGGAAATACACTGGATGCCCCAAAATAAGCCTCTCAATTTCTGTGTGTGAAGGGAGTGAGCAGAAATCCATTCAGAACTTAAGAAAACAACCAGTTGCACTGGCAGGGCATGCTTTAAGCAAGTATAAGCCTCAGTGATAATTACAAATATAGTTGTTAAAAAATTACACTGCTAGAGACTATAAAAACCTCTTGAGGGCAAGTCCATGCCGATTTACTGTGATATCTGAGAACCTCAGTAAAGTGCCAAGTACAAAGGAGATAATGTTTAGTGAACCAAACTGCTGAAGTTCTCAGGTTAAAAATACTATTAATCTTTGGATCTGAAGATGCAGGAAGAAGCGATTTTAGATATGCCATGAAGTCAGCTCCTCCAAACTACCCAAGGCTGAAAAGAAATCATACACAGTAATAAGGACTCCATGTATACTTCTTACAGTATTTAAATATCAGAGCCTTTTAACTATTTAAAAACAAATATCTAATAAATAAAAGTAAAAGCAAGTCATCTGTTAATCCATTTAGGGTGTTAAATATGTATTTTATTTAGAATTCATCTAATAATCTTCAAAATATTATAATGCATGTGAAGTGACCTTTGAGAAAAGATTAATTTAAAATAGGACAGTTATATTCACTGTAGTCCGAGCCTGGAAATCTCTCTGCCTGGGGAACTAAAAAGAAGGGCACGAATCAGTTTTAGATGAATGAATACTCACTTACCTGTGGTAAGGAATTGGGCCAAGTGCCATTGGTCCTGTCTGTCCTAGCATTTTGGATTTTAAGTAAAGTGACCTAGCAGTTGTTTGACTTATTTGTGACCAGTCTTTAACAAATGGTTTAAGAATTTAACATTGCATCTTAGGTTTAATTAGTATATGAACACATACCTCTTTTGTACCTTTAAGATGCAAGCCTTCATGCCAATCAGGTCCCAAGGCACTGCCCATATTACCAGCACCAGTTTTGGTTTGTTTTCTTCCTGAAGAGAGAAACTCAACTCAAAATTCAAATGACCTAAAAACTGCCAGGCAGAGACATGTACTTGTGTTCTCAAGCTTTTAGGCAATATTGTGATTCTCATACGTACATATATACAGCATGACTGAACTAAGTTACCTGTATTACTTTATTATTTTAATATTTTGTGATATAGAGCTATACAATGGATAATCTTTCAACCAAGTGTTGAGTATAAACACAGTGTGTTTTGGGGATGTTATATATATATATATATATATATATATAAATGTATGTTAATATGAAGGGTAAGATCTGATAAAAAGTTGATATCCAAAATACATAAAGAACTCCTACAACTTTGTAACGAAAATACAACCAAAATAAAAAATGGGCAGAGGACCCGAACAGACAGGTTTCCAGAGACATACAGCTGGCTAACAGGGACATGAAAAGATGCTCAACATCACTAATCATCAGAGAAGTGCAAATCAAAACCACAATGAGGTATCACCTTACACTTGTAGAATGGCTAGAATCAAAAAAAGAAAAGAAATAACAAGTCTTGGCAAAAATGTGGAGAAATAAGTTCCCTCATGCACTGTTGGTGGGAATGCAAATTGGTACAGCCACTGTAAAAAACAGTATGGAGTTTCCTCAAAAAATTAAAAATAGAATTACCAAAAAAAAAAAAAATTACCATATGATCCAGTAATTCCACTACTGGCTATTTATCCAAAGGAAACAAAAACACTATTTTGAAAAGATATGTGTAGCCTTATGTTAACTACAGCATTATTTACAACAAGCAAAATATGGAAGCAATCCCAAGTGTCCATCAACTGACAAATGGATAAAGAAGATGTGGGGGTATATATGCGACGGAATATTACTCAGCCATAAAAAAGGATGAGATCTTGCCATGTGCAACAACATGGATGAACCTAGAGGGTATAATGCTAAGTGAAATAAGTCAAAGACAAAGACAAATGCCATATGATTTCACTCATATGTGGAATTTAAGAAACAAAATAAACAATAAAGAGACAAACCAAAAACCAGACTCTTTAAGTGGTTGCCACAGGGGAGGTGGATGGGGGTATGGATGAAATAGAGGGGATTAAGATTATACTTATCATGAGGAAGACTGAGAAATGCATAGAATTGTTGAATCATTTTATTGTACACCTGAAACTAATATAACACTGTATGTTAACTATACTTCAGTAAAATTATTTTAAATAAACACATGCAAGTTAAACTAAGAAAAAATATTTTTATTCAGTTGTATACCTAGTTCTTTTATGTGCAATTCTAGCCTCTGGTTTTTATTATTTTTATTATTATATTTTATTAAATATAAACTATATTTTAAAACAACAAAATAAATAAAGCAGAAACAGGCTCAGACATAGAGAAGTGGTGGTTGCCACAGGGGAGGCACTGGTGTGCAGGCAAAATAGGTGAAGAGTAAAGTAGTAAGAAGTACAAACTTCCAGTTATAAGTAAGTCATGGGGCTGTAAAATACAGCACAGGAAATATAGTCAATGGTACTGTAATAAGTTTGCACAGTGACAGGGTAACTAAACCTACTGAGTGGACCAAGTCATAATGTATAAAAATACTGAATCACTACTGTTGTACACCTGAAACTAATATACTGTAGTCTGTTACAATTCAATAAAAAAATTAGCCATTCTGTTTTTAAACATTTTGTCAATTTTTAGCACCCTCAAGACTTACAGAATTCTTTTCGAACTGTATAAGCCAAAAGTTAAAAAAAAAGCTCTTAAAATAAAAAACTAGGTTTGTTGTATTTTTTCTTTTTCTCTAAAGATTTTATTTATTTGCTAGAAAGAGAGCGCGTGCGCGTGCACACACAGACACAAGCTGAGGGGAGGGGGAAAGGAAGAGGGAGAAGCAGGCTCCCCACTGAGCAGGGAGCCCCGATGCAAGGCTCTATCCCAGGACCCTGAGATCATGACCTGAGCCGAAGGCAGATGCTTATTGGCTGAGCCATCCAGGTGCCCCTGTATTTTTTTAATTCATTTCATTTTTTGTAAAATTATCTTAGCTCCTGTCCAGTTGTATCATCTGTTTGCAAAGATGCAGATGGGGTTGGTTCATTTAATTCACTTTAAATTTCCAGTTTTAATTATACATATTTGTGTCATTTAAAAAAATCCTGGAAAATCTAAGTCATAAGATAGAGAAATAAATATTATCTATATTTGTGTTTCTCAACTATAATATTTTGCTCAATGTTCTTATAGCCTTATTCTATATGGCTAAAAAGCTAAACAGTTTCATCTGTGAATTAATGAACAAGATGCTGTATTTACCTTCAGTTGTATACCTAGTTCTTTTATGTGCAATTATAGCCTCTGGTTTTTCAGCAATGAGTTTTGAAGTCAAGAATTCTGCTGCTCCTGCGTCGAAGAAAGTATTCCCAATGGCTTTATCTTTAATGGCCCAAATGATTTCACAGCCTTCAATTTCATACCTAAAAGGAATATTAAAGTTACTCAGAGCAATTCTGAAAGTCTGAATAGAAATCTCTGTATTTGCAAATAACAATTATCTCTGAGGGCAAAATTTGTCGCGTGCCTCCTTTCTCTTGCCCCTGTTTGGTTTTGACTCTCTAGTTTCTGTTTGTTTTTCTCTGCAGTTCTCCATAGTGCCACAAACTTCATAATTATAAGAATGACTGCCAACCCTAGTACTCAGGCAATTTAGGAACTCTTATAATGCTTCCAATGGGATCCACCACCCTGTCAGAAAAAGGAGCAAAAACCTAGTGCAAGAGTTAGAATGGACAGGGCTTTGGCAAATTCATCATTTTGATACAAATTTGTCCTCTTTGTAGTTGGGCTCAACTTTCTTGCCTGAAAATGTCCAGACTATTCCATGTCAGCCATTCGCTGGAAGATAAAATCACAAAGAAAATCTATGCTCTGTAGACCATAGCAGGATATTGATTCCTCAATGTTCTTTGAACTTGAAATATCTTAAGATAGTATTTTATATTAATTTATGCATTCACCATTTTCCAGCTTCCAAAAAACAAAGAGCTGAGAGTACCACAGACTTCAAATAGGGAGTCATGGGCCAGACAGGTACCTATATAAATGAGTGAAGCAGGATGGGTATAAACAATAAAAAGTGGTGGGGGCTGTGACTAGAAATCTCTAAAACTGTGCACATTTAAATTGTTTTTCAAGATAGTACATGCTTACCAAACACCTCTATGGGTCACACCTCTCCAGTCACCTGTGTGTGACCCCTTGAGACAGAAAACATTCCCTAAACTCATGTTTGGCAATGACATTTCTGCAACTATGAATTCCATGAAAGCCAAAAATAGAAAGTGGACATTTTCCTTGAAAATATATGAAAACCAATTACATTTATCTTTGAATTTCAGAATACCAAGATGTTTCTAGTCTGCCAATAATCACATGAATCACAGAGCAGTGTTTAAATAGGATTTAAAATATATACTTACACCAGTTCAAGTGCAATGCCGCCATTCCCTATGATCATTATTCTTTTAGCCTTAGTAAGCTGTTTCTGAAATTCCTGTATTAAAAAGAAAAGGAGACAGGGTTCTGTAAGTAGTGGGCAAAACTTGAAGCAAGAGGCTTCAGTGATAATATTCTTAAAATGTAGGAATTTTATCTGATTTACAAAGGAACAAAATAAATCGACTTTCCCACTCTGCCAGGATGCACCCTCCCAATATTACAAATGCTCTCTGTTTCACCCAAGCTGCAATATCGCTGATTTTCCTTGCCTTTTAGGTCATCACATTTAGAGTAGTTCAGAATTCCAGCAAGCGGCATGACCTCTAGTCCATCACATTCCTAACTCCTTGATCAAATCAATTTACTAACAGGACATTGATCTGTATCCTACATATTATTCCTTTTCACCTAGTCCTTCAGTTGACACTTTCCCTGTAATTCATCAACACTCAAAACTTGCATGAAAGAGCAGCACAACAGCTTGGTGGTTAAGAGTCCCTGGCTCTAGGAGTTAGTAATTGCCCGGAGTTAGTAACTTGGGCAAGTTGCTTAACCCCTCTGTGCCTCCAGTTCTTCAACTATAAATGGAAACAAGAAGTGACTCTATCTCATTAGGCCTCTGCAAGCATTAAGATAATGTAAATAAAGCTGTTAGGAGCAGGCACAATAATGTCTAACATCAGGAAAAAACGTTACGTTCTTATCATTACAAGACAACTAATTGATGCCTCTACCACCTTCCTCCTCTGCCCCCTAAAAAAGCTCACAATGAGCTCACTACTGAAATTGACTTGTTTAAAAAGAAAAAAAAAAGTTATTTTTAGTTTCTCCTTCACTGAGGACAGTAAATAATTTAGGAAAGATCTGTTAAAAACACTGGACATGGAGATAAATGGCATGAGTTTAAATTGTACTTCTGATAGACTTAATAACTACTTTAGTATAGGTAAAAACTTAATTTCTCCATCAGTTTCCTATTTGTAAAATGGGAGTAATACTGTCACACAGGATTATCATAAGCAGTTAGCTTATGTATGTAGAGGGCCTAGCTGGAACACAGTTATGAACTCAGTCTTTGATAACAGGAACCTGAAATGTTCACAATTATAATTAAGTTATAATTTATAATTAAGTTTTTCTAGTTTTCTCTACATTCCTATTTAATTAAGAACAGGCTAAAAGAAAACATCAATTTTCAAGAATATAAAATATTAATAAATGTAAAATTATGACCCTATGAGATAGAACTACAACAGTGAGCTTAAGATAAGACAGAATATTATGATCAGAAACCAGGAAGAGTTTCTTGGCAAGAAGGGTCAATGAACCCCAAAGCCCTGAAATCCATTACCAGAAGTTGTAGAAGGTTCCACCGAGTTTCACCTTACTGAGATAGTTTACTATAGTTCCTGAGCACAACAATAAACCAAATGAATTTTTCAGTTCTGGGATTCTGTCATGATTCTGTACCACAAAGATCTTCGAATATAAATTTTTTTTGCTAAGCGGTAAGTTCAGTAAGTTTGGGATATGCTTTACCTTTTTGGAAAAAGATTATTTAGATTGCAAATCACATATTCCCAAATTACAGTAATGAATGTGTGTGTAAGTTATAACCTTCAGCTTAGTTGTTATATCTGGGATACAATGCACAATGGAAAGAACAAAGAACATCAGCATGAACTAAAAAAAATTATCAACCAAAGCCAAACTGAAACTGGCAATAACATTATAACTACTTTCTGGTTTATGGATCATAAAACAAACCTCTTCTATAATTTAGGAATTAACATTGTAAGTGGAATATTTTGATTCAAATATAGAAAAGTCTAAGAAATATTCACATTTCTTTCCCATGAACCAACCTCAAAATGTTACCTGAGCACTGTCTGTATCACGGATTCCTAATACGTAAGGATTTCCTTCACATATCAACTTTGGTTTAGCTCCAGCACACAAACAGAGTTTCTTATACACATGCTGACTGCCATCTCCTGTTAAAATGCACTGTAAAAACACAAAGGAAGGAAGGGGAGAGGAGAAACATATTCATCCATGGGTACAATTTCATTTTAAATAAAATATTCGGGGTGCCTGGGTGGCTCAGTCAGTTAAATGTCTGCCTTTGGCTCAGGTCATGATCCCAGGGTCCCTGGATCGAGACCCGCATCAGGCTCCCTGCTCAATGGGGAGTCTCCTTCTCCCTCTCCCTCTGCTCCTCCCCTGCTCATGCTCGCTCACTCTCTCTTGCTCACTCTCTCTGGCTTGCTCACTCTCTCAAATAAAATATTTTTAAAAAATTAAAAATTCAATAAGAGGAAAGCAAAAAATACATTAAGGTTGCCTCTTGGTGGCACTCAATATTTTGTTAGAGCAACTGCAAATCAAAGTAAACATGAGAATGCATTCAGTCCAGTCATTCACCATCATTTTAGAGCCATGAACCATTCTGGGAATCTGTGAAAACTAGTCTTTCTCCCCTGGGAAAAGAAGGTACAGTCACACCAGATTTTGCATAAAACTTAAGGAATCTCATGATATTCAGGGAGGTATGCTGACCACAAGTTAAAAACTAAACATTCAGAAATTTTAAAATTGATCATTCTGATATTATACCTGGGGCAGGCCTTAATGAATATTTCTGATCCCAGTGGAAGTTACTGTAGGAAGATCTAGTAATTCTAATGGTACAGTGTGGTAGGAAAGGGTACATTATCTAAAAACATTAGAAGTGCTAAAAACACAGTATTTATATGCTTAAGTACAAATAACAATCACTTCACCAGCAAAAATGCTCTTTGGGGATATTTTCATATAAGTGAAAAATGTGTTAACCTTAAATCCTAGCATGTACTGGCTTTAAAGTTATTTATATTAATTTTTAATGGCATCATTGAGTCTAAAAATACATATTTGAGATCCACTGTTTTTGTTCCTTAATACTGAATGAAAACCTACATCTAAGTAGTAGCCTTTAGAAGGTACATATCTGTAAGTACATATGACTGAGAGATGCCAGACTTTGTCAGAGTGATTTAGAGGTTAACATTGTGCCATGTGTTTGATTTATAAAACATGGCAAATCATAACTGTAGCACTTGATACCCACTGAGACATTTGTTACCCGTTGTAACTCTTCAGCTGCTTAACAAAAACAGAAAGCCAATAATCCACACAGTATAATGCACATAGAAATTCTACACGAGTCTTCCTGCAGATAATATAGTTAGAATTTTATCTGGCAAACAGTAGTTATAGACCCTGACCAAATCTAAAAAATAATTTGCATGTAGCTACTGTAAAAACACAAGAACTCTTTTCATTGGCTACTGTTAAATTTTTGGAAGTAGATATGAAAAGAAAACACAATCTCTAATTCATTAAAGAATATAAAGGACAAATAATACAGACATGATCTCATTTAGGACACTTCAGCATGGTAATGGGCAGCACTCTGATTTATTCAACGCCCAAATATAAATTCCCTCACAATTTATTAGTACACATTTGAGCACACTTCTATTTGCAAATTAACTGACATGGATGTGATATAGAACATGTACTACTATAAATATCAGAAATTTATCCTGGTTTTAGGATTCAGAGTAATTTCTTCTCATAAAATTCAGTACTTATTTATTTTTTCCTGTCAAATTATTTGTGTTCTGAATGTATTATAAGTGTGTTTTCTCCCTAAGGGAGAACTCACAAATGAGAGCTGCTCTAGGGAAACAACGGCAAACTCCACTTCCCATCTTGCCTGAAGCTCATCTGAGGATATTGTTATCATCTGACAACACCCTTTTCTGAGCCCGCCTTATTCAGTCCCGTGTCCAGTGGGTTACTGGGTCCTGCTGAGTTTACGGTAGAAATCTCACTCATATCTGGGCCGTCCTTTCCACTACACTGTCCCCGTCTTAGTTCAGGCCTTCTACCATTCTGGATGATTGCAACCACCTTCTGATTTGGTTGCTGGCCACCAGCCCTCACTCCCCCCCAACTTCATCCTCAACACTGCTGTCAGATCTACCTTCCTAAAAGAGTATCCATGGTATCACCCTGCCTCCCCCTAAAATCTCTTCATTTCTTAACTGATTACAAAATAAATGTCTTGGTATGATGTTAACAGCTCTTCACAGTCTTATTTCTTTGGCCTCGTCTGCCAATCTCCTTTCCTTGTCCCCACTGCAGTCCCTCTGACAGTGTCACTCTTCCATGTGCCCCTTTCCTTTTCTTTGGACCTTTGAATAAGCCACCTCCTTTTCCTACAGTGCCCCTAATTAAGAACTCTTAATTCTTTAAGAGTTAAACCCCATTCAAATATTATCCTTCTATGAAGTCCTCACAAATTTCTAATATCAGAGCTTAGATAAGAGTTCAGTGACTGCTTTTCATGTCCCTATAGTTATACGTGTGCATGTGTATATTCGCTACGACGCTGGGCGCTCCCAGGGCAGGTTCACTGTAATATTCCTGTTGTCTCCCAGCACTTAACATAGTGCCCAGAACATAGTAGACACTGTAAGTGTTAATGCTCACGTAAAATGTAAAACCTAAAATGCAAACTAATTATATAATCATAATAAACTCACAAGTATAAATTTTCCCAGTAATAATATAAATCACTAAACTTTATATGCGAGGGACCTTAGTGGTGGTGGCGGTACAGACGGGGTCAAAAGAAAGCAGGCAAAAGCTCATCGAGATTGAACAGTGGGCTGACATTAAGAAAGAAATCCTCGGGCGCCCAGGTTAAGCATCTGCCTTTGGCTCAGGTCATGATCCCGGGGTCCCGGGATCGAGTCCCACATTGGGCTCCCTGCTCGTCAGGGAGCTTGCTTCTCCCTCTCTCCAGCCCCCCCCCACTCATGCGCTCTTTCTCTCTCTCTCGCTCTCTCTCTCTCTCTCAAATAAATAAAATCTTAAGAAAGAAAGAAAGAAATCCTCTTACGTGTTCTTTACTCTTTAGTTGTTTTACTCCGGATTCTATAATCTTAATGTTGGGAAAGCGATTTTCTAACATGGTTTTCGGTTGCTCTTCAACATCAAACTCCTCCAATACTTTAGAAACCTGTATTAGATCAGAAAGGTAAAAATATATGTTTAAAAAATATTTCAAGAATTTTAAATAATAAAAATACTTTCATTTGTTTTTATACACTACTTCATATTCATAAAACAAAGTCGGCCAATTGCACTACATACAGTGTAAAGAGGGCTAACTCCACATTTTAAGACTTGAATTCAAATATTAGTCCTACCTCTCGGGCAAGTCAGCCAGGTCCCTGTACCTTAGTCTCCTAGCCTGGAAAATGAGGGCTGACTCTACTCACTTCTGCATACTTTTACCACACACCTTGTTGATTTCCTTATCCTCACAGTTTTCTCTGTCCACTTACTAGCCAACTTTATTGTGATCTAGCCTTTAGACTCTTTCCTGTTGTCTAAACCCAAGAGCATCCTCTTGGAGTCACTTCTCTTCCTGTGCAGCCATGACTCCACTGTAGATCATCTCATGTTTTGCCCAAACTTTTACTTCCTTGCTTTCTTTTCTTTAACCATCAATTACCCTGAAAACCCCCAACCACAGACTGAACTGCCTGCTTTTTCCAGTCCTATACCCAGTCTGCTGTGGAAGGACCACACCTTGCAGACTGGCATTTGACCTCAGCTGCCCCCTAAATACTACTGGGAAATCCTACTACATGGCCCTAGTGGTTCTCAAACTGTTTAGTCTCAAGACCCCTTTACACACTTACAGATGACTGAGGACCCCAAAGAACTTTTGCCTATGTGAGTTAAACCCAGTGATATCTGCTACATTAGATATGAAAACTGAGAAAAATGTAAAATATTTAATTCAATTAGAAGTATAATCAATACATGTTAAACAAATATCCTTTTAATAAAAAATAACAATTTTTCCAAAACAAAAGAAATTAAGAAGAATGGCATTGTTTCACATTTTTGCAAGTATCTTTACTGTCTGGTCTTAATAGAAGATCTGCTTCTCCATTCAAACTATTACAATATGTTAATCTGGTTGAAGTATATGCAGCCTTTTCAGAGAATGTATATTCTTTGATGTTACACTAAAACTCAACAAACATGTTTTCTTAAAGATTAGTTGCTATGTAGAATTTGAAACCATATCAAAGAAATTTTCATCCTCTGTTACTGTGAAATCCACTGGTCTATTCTGCACTTTGAATGGATCTTGTAACATCACATTCGTCATCTCGACAACAGTGGTTCCCTAAGTTATGGAGATCTGCCCAATGTTAACACATTTTATATCACTACAATATCAAAAGATCACATTACTATCACCAACAATCTCATCAGGAAAGTCTTCAAGTACCACGGGGCTCACAGTGAGGAAATGAGTTTTCCAAAACTCTAATTCTGGCTGGAAAGCTCTAATTTTGTCCTGTTGGCAACAAATACTATCACCTGTGTTCCTTGAAGTGACAGGCTCACTTCACTCATTTTCCAAATATGAATTACTATGGTGTGTCAGTTGTTCTTTCAAGTAAAGCTGGTGTCCGTAAAAGAGAAATTAGTTCCTCTTGCAACTCAGCAACAGCACAACTGCTTTTCCTTGAGACAACACTACTGTGCGCAGAACAAGTGCTTTATGCCTACAACCCCATTTTATCATACAAGGTATTAAAAACACATACACTTATGAGTCAGGATTTAATAAAACGTTTTTTACTGGCTCTAATTGATTTAACTGATTGCGTGGCAGTGAAGAATACAATGACCTCTAGTCCAGTTTAGCCACTGTTGCTCTTATGCCATCGGTGCTTAAGGGTCAACATAGTGAGAAGAGTAACATCAAGTAACATCTTCCATCCCTCAGTAATTTTTTCGAAAGTTCATTATTCTAATGTTTTACAAACACATTCCACCCTCTGCATTCCCAGCAAATCACCTTACCTCTAGGCTTAAAGAGACTACTAAGAACTCTTACTACTTCTTTCCCACCATCTATACATTTCTCAGCTACAGTCTGCCTTCCTTGACCCATTTCTATTTTCAAGGTGAATCCAGTAATCTGTGCTCTATATCCCATCACCTCTCACCTCCTCAAGACTTTTATTATATATTCCTTGTTTTTCTTCATCTTCATTCCTACTGGCTTCTTAATCTCAACAGGTAAACATGCTAAAGTGTTTTCCACCTTAAAAGAATAAAACTCAACTTAATGCTAGTCCTCATGTCCTCTATTTGCTGCCACCCTACCTTTTTTCCCTTTGCAGCTAAATTTCAAAAGAGAAAAGTTTATGGTTACTGTCATTTTAGAGTTACCCCCTACTAATTTCTGAAGATAGTGTAAACTGTCTCAAAGTCACCAATGATTTACTAGATATGGGCACTTTTGAGTCCTTGTGTTGTCTGACTATTCCCTTGGATCTGACACCTTTGACCACTCCTCTTTTTTTTTTTTAATAAAGATTTTATTTTATTTATTTGTCAGAGGAGAAAGAGCGAGCGAGCACAAGCAGGGGGAGCTGCAGGCAGAGGGAGAAGCAGGCCCCCCCCCGTGGAGCAGGGAGCCCGATGCGGGACTCGATCCCAGGACTCTGGGATCACGACCCGAGCTGAAGGCAGACGCTTAACTGACTGAGCCACTCAGGTGTCCTGTGACCACTCCTCTTAATTAAACATTTGCCTTCCATGGCTTCAGGGATACTTCTCTTTCACAGTTTTCCTCTTCAATCTAGACTAATAAGGGTGGCCATTTTAAGGTCTTCCTTTCTCTCTGATCTCCCTTTAAATGTCAGTGTTCCACAGGACACTGCTGTGGGGCTCTTTCACTGTATGTATTTTTTCCTGGGAGACTGCATCCCATGCATATGACTCAGCTGACACTGAGACAATGATGAATACTAAATTTCTATCTCCAATTCAGTGTTCTCACCTGCTGAAAATGCTCCAAAAGTTTGGCATCATCTAAATTTGGATAAAATACAATTCCATACCATAGCATACAAGCCCTTCATGGTCTGGCCCCTGCCTACTGGTTCTACCTCACACTTTACACTCCAGCAGCACTGAATTGGTACCTGTTAGAGCATATTACATAGCAATATACTTTCATGCACTTTGGCACATGCCTGCCTCTATTCAACCTCTTACAAACATGGGAAAAACTACTATTCTTTCAGTCTCAGTTTCAATGAATCTTCCTATGTAAAGCCTTCTGGATTCTCAAAGGCAGGCTTTGGCACTCATTAATAATATATTTATAAAAATAATTATGCATATATTGCAATATGACCTCAGTTTTGATTTTTTTTGCCACTATCAGTATAATTACCATATTGTATGATAACTATGTCTTGTAGATTTGTTGCCCCAATAGAAAGGAATTATTCTGAGAAAGTGCTACTCATTAACCATAAGGGCTATAGAGCCAAAGGGCCTGTACTCAAAACCTATCTATACACATCTCAGAAATTTACCCAACCTCACTGTGACTCGTTTACCTCATCTGTAAGTGGGGATAATATATGAATCTACTTCACAGAGTTATTTAAGGATTAAATTAATACATTTAAAACATTTAGAAGAGTGTCTGGTGCAGAGTAAATACTCCAGAAGTAATGTGAGTTATTATTAATCTTTTTTCTCTTTAGAAATTACACAAGCCACAAAAACATGTTCTTTAACATTAAACAAACAGTACCTAATACAAAATAAAATGTGCCTCTTTACTGTTCTCTGAATCTCACACTATCCCACCATTACTGCTGTCCCCTGACTCCAGAGATAACCAGTAGTGATTTTTTGTGTATGTTCTATACTCTCAACCTAACATACTGGTTGATATATAATATAAATGCTCAATAAATGATAAAAAGGATGCAATTTCCTACTTCTGAATTTTAAGAACTGACATTTGCATAATATTTGTTACTCTAATGCACTTCCATATATATTAGTATGTCTTAAACTCCCAACATATACAACTTTAATACTTCCTAAGCAAGGAAGGTATTATCTTAATATTACAAGTGAAGCAACTGAGATACAGAGATCTGCCAAGGCTATGCAGCCAGGTAAATAAATTAGGCCTAGAACCCAAGATTTTTTTCTTCTATTGTACAAAATTTACAAAATTAGCAAAACTGAACTCAGGTCTTACAACCGTGGAACAGTTACACCAAATTCAGTCTTCTGGAAAAACACTTAGAAGACGCAGCTATACATCTCTGTCTTATGTATGTGCTCTGAGCCTATAATTGAATATATATTTTTTTTCTTTTACGAGATTAACAGCCATAATTTATTATCTGGTTCTCTCAATCCCATAAGTCCTTTGGCTGTACCTAGGTAGTAAGATATCTTAGGTATCTCTAAGTAGGTTATAAACAAGCAACATATTACACTAAATTACCCTTGGTCTTAGCGGTTTACAACATGAGAAAGTTTTATTTTATTATCAGGATGTAAGGGAAAACTTGTATTAAAGACTATGGTAGTATTCTTCACCAAAGTATGGGAACAAAAGATTTACTTAATTATTTTGCATAGGCATTATAACATAATTATAGTACTACAGTATGGGCATAATTTATAATATGTAAATATACATATATTAGGACATAAATCAAAACTTTTTGATGTGAGGTACCACATTAAAAATGTTTAGAGATCACTCTTCTATGATACTATGACTCAAATGATTTCAGACTCCTAATGTAATGTTATGATGTGTGTAATGTAAATTCATGGAACTACAAAGTGTTCTGAGATGCTTATTACACATCTGAAACATTAATTATCTGCAAGTGTAAAATTGGCCAAGAAGCACTTTTCTGATTTGCAACACACACATTTATTCACGCACAACTGTATACAACTGTACACATACAGCTGTGTATATACATATATATAATGATATCCAAATATATTTGTATTCATATTTACATTTGTATAACATTTTTCCTCAAAAGAACTTTAAAATTTTCTGAAAAGTAATTCTGAGTGGGAGGAAAAGATGGGAAGAAAATAAAGGACTAGAAATTCAACATCATTTGGGTGCTTTCAGTATTCACTATAATTCTAAACTTTGAGCTTTGATTTTAAAATGACTATCAAAAGAACATTTGTCATTTTAAACATTTAAAAACTATAATTACACTACTATGCAAGTTACTGAAATTTAAAAACATCAATACTAAGAAAGTTATACAAAAGTTCTTACCTGCTTGAAATTTGTAACCGCTTTAATAACAGGAGAAGCTGTTACCAGGAGAATATCTTCTGAAGGAAACTGAATAGCCAACTTATTAAAAAAAAAAAGTTGGGAGAAAATATATGATAAATAACTTAGGTACTTTAGGTATTAATATATATTCCTTGGAGGGTGAGACAGGGATAATGCAATTTTAATAATGTTATTAACCTAGGAAACTATAAACTCACTTTTCCTCATCTAAAGGTCTCCATTATTCTGTGTCTTCTTATTTATGGGGTAGTGGTGAGTAATGTCCAACTCTGATATTGATAAAACAAGTAATACATTTACACTAAACACTAACAAAGCCTCCTGAACAAGAAAAGTGATACACAGAGGTATTCCTTATTTACTTAAACTACATTATATACCAATTTAAAGTTGTCATGCAGAGAATGAGAAGAAAATATTTTCCTAAATAACAGTTAAACGAACTTCTATTTATTTTAAAAATAATATATTCACTTCCCTGCAGTAGGATAATATTAGAGCAAATCCTTACTAATAAATACTCAGAATCTTAGCCTGACTTTTCCCAAGTGCTTTGCCATTGCTATTCTGCCTCTTCCAAATGTCCAACCAGTATACACTCTGGGAAAACAAAACCATTTTAGTATTGGCTTCAACAGAATTTAGAGGCTTAACTTGCTCTTTTTTTCATGATTTTCCTCTGGCTACAACCTTTCTCTTACTTTAAACTTCAAAGAATTTTTTTTTAAGATTTTATTTATTTATTTGACAGAGAGAGAGTGAGAGCATAAGGCAGGAGACAGAGGGAGAGGGAGAAGCAGGCTCCCTGATAAGCAGGGAGCCTGATGCGGGGCTCCATCCCAGGACTTGGGGATCATGACGTGAGCCGAAGGCAGACGCTTAACCAACTGAGCCACTCAGGTGCCACTTGAAAGAATTTTCTTAAATCACACTCTGGTTCCTCAACTCCACCAAGTTCTATTTCTTTCCCTACTACACCATTAAAACTGAGCACATTCGGCCAAAAAACTATCGGAATAAACAAATGAATTCAGTAAAATTTCAGGATACAAAATTGATACACAAAAAGTGGTCGAGTTTCTATACACTAATAACGAGCTATCAGAAAAAGAAATTAAGAAAATAATCCCATTTACAACTGAATCAAAAAGAATAAAATACTTAGGAATAAATTTAACCAAAAAAGTAAAAGACTTACATTCTGAAAACTATAAGCCACTGACAAAAGAAATTTAGGAAGACATAAATAAATGGAAAGATCTATCATGCTCATGGATTGAATATTGTTAAAATGTTCATACTACCCAAAGTAATCTACAGATTCAATGCAATCCCCATCAAAATACCAGTGGCATTTTTCACAGAACTGGAAGAAAGAATTCTAAAATTTGTGTGGAACTGCAGAAGACCCCAAATAGCAAAGCGATCTTGAGAAAGAAGAACAAAGCTGGAGGTATTATGCTCCCCGATTTCAAACCCCTACTACAAAACTGTAGTGATCAAAATAGTATGGCACTGGCACAAAAATGGACACACAGATCAATGGAATGGAACAGAAAGCCCAGATATAAGCCCCACACATAGATGGTCAATTAATCTCTGATAAAGGAGGTAAGAATATACAATGGGGGAAAAAAGTCTCTTCATAAATAATGTTGGGAAAACTGGACAGCTTACATGCCAAAGAATGAAACTGGACCACTATCTTACGCAGTATACAAAAATAAATTCAAAATGGATTAAAGACTTGAATATAAGACTTGAAACCATAAAACTCCTAGAAGAAAACATAAGCAGTAAGCTCTTTGACACCAATCTTAGCAATATTTTTTGAACCATTTTCTTCAGGCAAAGTAAAACAAAAAGCTAAAACAAACAAATGAAATCAAACTAAAAAGCTTTTGCAGAGAAAAGGAAACCATCAACAAAAGGACAACGTACTGAATGGGAGACAATATTTGCTAGTCACATATCCAATTGGGGTTAATATCAAAAATATAATAAAAAGTTACACAACTTAATATAAAAAAATTTAAAAATGGGCAGAACTTGAAAAGACATTTTCCCAAAGAAGACATACAGATGGCCAATAAACACATGAAAACATGCTCAACGTCACTAATCATCAGGGAAATGCAAATCAAAACCACAATGAGCTATCACCTCACAACTGTCCAATTGGCTATTATCAAAAAGATAAGGAATAACATGTGTTCTTGAGGATGTGGAGAAAAGGGAACGACTGTACACTGTTGTTGAGAATGTAAAATAGTGCATCTCCTATGGAAAACAGTATGGAGGTTCCTCAAAAAATTAAAAATAGAACTACCATATGAATCAGCAATTCCACTTCTAGGTATTTAGGAGAAGAAAACCGGAACACCAGTTTAAAGAGATATATGCTCTCCTATGTTCACTGCAGCATTATTTACAATAGCCAAGATATGGAAGCAACCTAATTGTCCAGTGATAGATGAATAGATAAAAAAGATGTGGTATAAATATATTCAATGAAATATTATTCAGCTATAAAAGAAATCTGTCCTTTGTGACAATATGAATGGACCCAGAGAGTATTATGTTAAGTGAAATAAGTCAGAGAAAGACAAATACTATATGATTTCACTTATTTGTGGAAACTAAACAACAAAACAAAGCAAGAGACTCATAGATACAGGAAACAAACTGTTGATTACCAGAGTGGAAAGGGGTTGGGGGTGGAGGGGAGTTGGGCAAAATATATTAACGGATTAAAGGAACAAACTTCCAGTTATAAAATAAATAAATCGTAAGGATGTAATGTACACCATAGAGAATACAGTCAATAATACTGTAATAACTTTGTATAGTGACAGAGGGTAATTATGCCTATTGAGGTGCCCATTTCATAATGTATATCCAATCACTATGACATACACCTAAGACAATACTGAATGTCAATAATTCAATAAGGAAAAAAGAGAACATCTTCAATTCACCTATATATCCTTAAAATCCATCAGATTCTTTTTAACATCACCTTATTTGAACTTTCTATAATACTTGATAATATTACTAATCTCTCCACCTTTCTTTTCTTTGTATATTCTGTAATTTATTTCCCCACTTTGTTTGCATTGCTACACCTGGCCCTCAAAATTTCTTTATAGTACTAAATTCACCTTCCAATTGGCCTTCTAGTCTCATTTTAACCAGCTGCCCCTGCCCCAAACACTTTGGAACAAATCACCTCTCAAAATATTTCATTTGACCACATTAGGCCACTACTCCAAATCATCTCACTATCTGCAAGTTCTTGTTAAATTCTTAGCAAGACTTATATGACCCTTTATGATCTGGTCTCTGCCAACCTTCCTACCTTCATCTCTGGTCACCTCCCCCAAACACCATCTACTTTGAGCTTTGCTGCTCTCAGGTAATGCCATGCTTTTCCATCTGAGATTATATCCTTTCCTCCCTAGCACCCTCTGGTTTTTCTTGTCTACCTGGTGAACTTTTACCCAACCTTCTGTATTGAGACAAAAGGACTCCCCCTCCCCAATTTACACCCTGCCAACTCCACAGGCACCCCTAAATTGGAATGATTTATTTACATGTCTCTTCCACTAGATTGTGTTTTAAAAAAGGAGGTAGCATGCTTTGTTTATACATAACTAATCAGCCCTTAGTACAATGCCTTGATCATAGGTGTTTACTTGGTGAAAAAATGGAAAAAACACACCTAAAAATTAAAAGTTTGTAAAAAAAACTCTTGAATTTCTTGCACTTCTTCTGTGACTTCAATAATTGCTTCTGTTTACTTTATAACAACAAAATAATCTAGTCTTTTTGGTGTGTGTGTGTATATATATGGTCTGATTATTCACTAGAATCAGAAAAGCACTCCCCACCTACATTTAATAACTTGCTTGTTGTTTTACAATACATTACTAGAGATGAAATCTCTTCTACCTTGTACAGGATAGAAATACAGGAGAAAGTATAGGAGGAAACGTTAGAGTTTATCAGTTATTTACGATGAACGATGAACTAAGGACCTGGCATTTACTTGGAAGTTGAATTCAATCAGCTAATTAAGAAAGGGGGCTGAATTTTCTGACCAAGTACTTGTTAGTTTTAAGCCCTCTTGCTGTTTGTTTTTTTATGATTTTTGAAAATTTATTTGACAGAGAGACACAGCGAGAGAGGGAACACAAACGGGGAGTGGGAGAGGGAGAAGCAGGCTTCCCGCGAAGCAGGGAGCCCAATGTGGGGCTCGATCCGAGGACCCCGGGGCAATGACCTGAGCCGAAGGCAAACGCCCAACGACTGAGCCACCCAGGCGCCCCGCCCTTTTGCTGCTCTGACGTAACTAGGACCAGAGTCTGGTTCAGTCAGCTTTGGGGTTCCCCTCCCAAAACCTTGCTCCCCACTCCTCCCTACGCCCAAGGCTAAGCTTGACAGTACTAAGAACTTCGTCCAAGGGCCACCACGCAGTCTCTATCATTTGAAAGCAAGGAGTGCGGGGGTGGGGGAAAAGGAAGCGACTAACGAGGGACATGGGCGAAGGGCGGGAGGGTGCCGCCTCCGGGGTCGAGGAAGCCAGCCTACCTGCTCAGCACAGGTGACACCCGCGATGCCACCGCCGACCACCACAAACTTCCCCGTCGTCGAGGGAGGGCGCGCTACCTCCATGCTCTCAAACTCCTAGAGGTTTACTGACAACCAGTGGGCGAGCCCCAGGAGCTTGGACTCTGGGAACGGAAGTCAAACAGGCCGGCTACTTCCGGTGCCGGTGCCTGAACCGGAGAATCTGAGCTACGGGTGCCCAGCAGCTCATACTTAGTGTCCTTGCGTATCCTCTTCTCACAGTGATTCAGAAGTACAAAGATATCTCCGATTCCAGGGTTTTGTTTTACGGCCACTACACCTGAATGTGGTTTTTCCACGTAGATTTGATAAAGAGAAGACACAAAACAAAATAAAACAAAACAAAGTAAAGAGGACGGGTCGCCAAGAGAAGCTTGGCAAATTGTCGAAACACAGACCAGAGTTCTCACAGGACAGAGTATTCTCAGAATAAATGAACCACCCTGAAGTTTTCACTATTCATTCTTGCGAGGAGTTTAACATAGATTTAGCTTTTAAACTCTTATGCCGGGCGCCTGGGTGGCTCAATTGGTTAAGTGACTGCCTTCGGCTCAGGTCATAATCCCAGGGTCCTGGGATTGAGCCCTGCATGGGGCGGCTCCCTGCTGCTCTCTTTTCTGCTCCCCTTGCTTGTGCTGTCTTTCTCACTCTGTCAAATAAATAGATAAAATCTTAAAAAAAAAAAAAAACCCTCTTAGGCGTGGACAATATCATCCTTCCCTACTTTTTGCCTAGCAATCCAAAATTTTATATTTTGGAAGCACATTCTTCATGGCATATTAAAGCAAAGCAAAGCAATACTACTGAATTGTTCTCTGAGAAGTTATTTCCATTTACAATTTTGACCTCAGCTAAAATTTCCAGTAGTATAGAGAATTGCTGGCCATTTTGTCAAAATAAATGACCACTCCTTCCAAGTGTCTAGTAAATAGTATGTGTGAAGGATGAATTAAATATCCCCATCTTAATTTTACTGCTAATACCTTTCTTTGTGATATTCATTTGTTTTGAGAAATGGCTAAAATTTAAAGAAAATTTTTTTTTACTATATTCACATTAGAACAGTATACACTATTTTCATTATTTTGTTATTTGCTATTGCCTTTACTCTTTCATATAATATTTTCCCTTAGTGTTTTACTATAATATTAAGAAGGTACAATTTCTCTAAATGGCTCACTCTAAAACTGGTAATTACAACCCCCCCCTTTAATTCTTTAAACTCTGGAAATAACCATTCTATATAAATAAGAAAATCTACCATGTAATTACAGATATTTACTGATATCCTAGTAATTGTTGCATTTTAATAAATAGTAGGGAGTTCAATAGTGATTCTAATTCCTATTACCAGCTTAGAAAACCAAACAAAACATTTCTAGGAGGAGGAAATGGTACTTTAAGCCCATTGAAATTTAGTCTTGTTTACTTCTGCAGCTTCTTATTTTCACATGATCTCACTCACACTGTGCTCTATCTGGATTGAACCACACTGGCAGCATCCAGGATATGGCGTGTTCTTTCTTTTCTGAGCATTTGCACATAATTTTTTCTATAATGTTCTTCCTCCAACTGATTTTCCCTAGCTAAATCCTCACTGACCTTTGGTTTCAACCAGCCATCACCTTTACTAAGAAGCTTTATCAAATGTCCTTAAGACTGAGCTAATTGTCCTCTCTCTATGTTCCAATAGCACCTTGTCATCCCCTGAATTTAGACTTACATCACCTTATTTTAAAACTACCTACTATCTCACCTGACTCTCACCGGCCACCACCATAAACTCCTTAATCTCAGGGATTATTACTAGTCTCCCTTTATATCCCCAATCTTCAATTAGTAGTAAGTGCTCAGTGTAGATAGGTCCTGAATGAATTAGTAATTAGGTGGAGCACGAGACTACCCGGAAGTCCTCTAAAGACCTTTAGATTCATTTTCTAGGGTCAAGATCCTCCTGTATCTTATGAAAGCTAGTTCCTCTTTAGGAAGGGCAAAGAGAAGAACAGCCTGGAACTCAGAGGAAATGGAGAAAGGCCACTGGAATGGAATTATTGTTTACTTATCTTGATACTTAACTATTTTCCATTTTAGTGTATAAGGCAATATTTTAACATCAGCTACACTGAAGATAAGAGAAATTCAGATTGTTTTCTGATAAATAAGTAAAATATTTCCCACAGCTAGTTATTATACTAAAGGAAGAGAAACGAACAACACTTTGTGTTATTACTTTTTGTTTATTGAAATTGTAGTTCCCATAAAATAAATGGAAGTATAAAGACGATAAAGCATATTTCCTTCCAAAAGAGAAAAATGCTAAATTATGGAATTAAATGGATGTGGCTTATTTTAGTTGATATAAAATACTGGCATTAGAAATAGTTGTATCAAAGAATTTTATCTGTTTTAAAAAGAAAAAAATTATGTTTCAAATAATACTGCAAATACTACATTATCTTCTCTATTAATTTTGTTTTTAAGTTCACATTAACCCAAGACAGATTTATATGAACGTTTAGGCAAATTTCTCCTTTTTAGTGTTGAAACTCCTTTCACATTTACATGAGACTTTGGAATTTTAGCCATCAAAATGATCTTCAATCAAAACACATTTGCTAGCAACAATGATTCGCATTCAACATGCAAGGAAATTCACATGTCATCATTAGATTTGGGAGACATAAGTTTAATCTATTTCTGGTTTGGTTCAGGTGAGGTTATTTATCGTATGGATCACATTCTGAAGAACAACTGTTTAAAAAAAACATTTTGTATAACACCAAAAAAAGTTGTTATTATTGTGGCTATGAAATGGCGTTCATAAAGGGAAAAGTTTTTCTTCAGGAGGGTGAAACATGTGTTTAAAGAGACACATCAGCCGGCTATGCAATAATTTCCTTTTTGACATGTTCTAATGTATTACCAGCTACAGAATTGTTACAGCATCTGGTGTTTGTAGAGAACTGGACACCCATTTATTTCCTCCTTTCTTTAGCCCCAGACATCTGCCCCAGGAACCTACACTATCTATTTTTGTATTTATCAATGCTCCATTTGAAAAGGAATATTAATGTCAATTATCAGATAGCCATGACTTATGGAATCATAATGTAATGATCTTCCTCATATTTAAAAGTAATTTAGAAATGTGCCATAACATTATGCAAACCTAATAATATTGCAAAACTTGGATAACTCTTTTAACAATATTCCTATTTTCCTTTTAAATCTCTAGATCCTTTTGCTCTCTCTCCTATGATGATCTATTTTCTTTCACCTGCCCCCAAAAGCACTTGTTTCTCAAAGTTCTATTATCTCTGAAGTTCTCTTCCCTCTCTCTACAGCCTTTAGAACATATCTGCTCCTTGTTGGTTACTGAATATACATTCTTCTCCCTCTTCCTTACTAACAGAACCCTAATTTTGTTTAAACTGACAATGTGCTACCTAGAAATATCTGTCTTTCCATACCTTTCTTGATGCTGAGGTGGCCATGGGACACAGTTCTGGCCATGGAGTAAGTAGAAATCAGCCAGGGATTTAGGAAACCTTTGTTCTCCTGATATAGGTACTGCTAGTTCCTCCTTTTCTCTTTCTCCTTCTTTCTTAGGGGTAGAGCAACCATCTTGCAACCATGAGATCAGAAGTAGGAAGATGAAGATATATTTGCTAATGATGTGCAGGGGAGAGATGGAAAGACCCTTCTCTAAGACTTAATTGAGCCCCTTTTAAGACTCTGGATTGCCTACCTCCAGGCCTCTTGTTGCCTGAGACAAATAAATCTCTGTATGTTTAAGCCACTATTAGTTTTCTGTGCTTATTGCTGAACATTATCCTAACCTAGCCCCCTTTTAATTAGTTAACTAAGGACAAAAACATTTGATTCACTCCTGTTATATCATAACTTCAAGCTGTATTTATTCCTATTACTCATTTCTGATTACCACACAATGTGGCACTTGAAAGTGTATAAAGCTGAAGGCAATATTTTATATCATGTGCAAAGTCAGACAAATTGCTTTTAGTTCAAAGGTCTGAGATTTATTGTGGCATTTCTCACTGTGATTTATCTGCAACATTTTGCTGTGGGTATGACATGATTTATAATTTGGGAACGCTGCTGATGGTTGATTTCCTTATGCCATTTCTGACCACAATTGATGTCAATTCATGTAAATCATTCCTGCAAATCCAGTCCAAATTAATCTTTTTGTAAATTTACTTTGTGAGAAGGTATGTCATATTTTATTATACACAGATTTCAATTCCCTACTCTTCCTATATTGAGGTTGCTTAGCAGTGAGCAAGCAGTAGGCCACTGTAAAGACTAATTTATAATTAATAATGTACATATCTCTACAGACGTTCATATCTAGATCTATATCTGCATATCTATGTATATTTTAAGGTTTCTTTATTTATTATATATATATAGAGAGAGAACGAGTTGGGGGGGGACAGAGGGAAAGAATCTCTAAGCAGCTTCCCCACTGAGCATGGTGTGGGACAGGGGGTTCAATCCCATGAGATCATGACCTGTGCCAAAACCAAGAGTTGGATGCTTAATCAACTGAGCCACTCAGGTACCCCTGCATATTTATAATTATGTCTAGATCTGACTGAGATATCAAGTAGTTAACTTAAATACAACTGTTTCTGAGGCAATGGTTTTGTTTTCCTCCCAATCATCATGGATTCTACTTATTATCATGTAGTAAATTTCTAAGTCTAAATATATTCCTTCAGTTTCATAAAAGTTTGTGTTAATCAAAATTAGGCAAATATGCTTAATAAAGTCAATAATTTTTACTTTTGCAATGAAGAACATAAAATGAATTAACAGGTGAACATTTGGGTTATCAACACAATCATTCTAATGTTATTTAAAATGATTAAAAATCATCACATTTTCAGTGGCGTATTCATTCAAGAAATATTTACTGAGCATCTGCTATGAGCCAGACATTGTTCTGGGCACTTGGAATATATCTGTGAATAAAACAAAAAAAAATTTCTGCCCTACCAGGGGAAGACAAACAATAAAACAAATAAAATACACAGGGTTGTATGTTTAAAAGTGCTAAATGTGGTGGGCAATAAGTGTAAAGGCCTCTAAA